CCAATTGGGCGGCATCTGCTCCTTTATCTCTCAGGCCCATCATGAGATAGTATCCCTCTGCGCTATCCTGGGACTTTCCTTTCGCCATTTCCCGCTCTGCATAATCCATGATGAAGCGACGCGCCCGCGCACAGGACTGTTGGAACTCTAGTTTCGTCGAAAAATGGCGCAGTGGGCCACGAAAGCCGTCACGAACGATTGTCTCCTTGATGATATGTAAGTCTTGCGCAAAGCGCTTCTTTGCCGGCGAGGGACTAGGATGCAAGGTATCGATCGAGTCCCCAAAAGCAAATCTGCTCTGGATATCAATTGCAAGGTTGATGAAACAATCCTGGATATCAAACTTCTGGCCATCGGGCGGTACACGCTGAAGAAAAGTCTGGAACTGCTGCTCAAACATCGCAAGGTCACACATTCTGCGGTTGTTGGACATCTGGATGCGCAGCTGGTCGCGGATTGCTCGCCAGTCGGGGCCATCAACCGTGAAGATTCCATGAGGTGTAATGGGATCGAACAAGTGGCCCCGCAGTTTGGAACTGTCATAATCCGCGAAGTTCGTTGAGAGAATGTGTTTGATGTTAGTCGGATCGCATGTGAAGTAAATCCGGTAACCCAGAATCCGAGACATATAAGTGTTCCCATATATCTTGAACAGCCTATCTGTATACTCGAGTGCAGTTTTATTTCGGAAATGACGTGCGAATTCGAGCAGTTTTGTCACACCCAACAAGTTCAACTGAGAGGCTTTCTCCTTGACCACATTCCCGCAGCCGTATTGTTGCTCGAGCGCGTAGATTTTGTGTGCTTGTCGCAGTTTTAAAAGCCAAATGAGTATAGCAAAAGCTATGACACCCAGTCGGAGAAGTTCTGGCGTCATCCCTATGGTCATAGTTGCCTGACTCATAATCCTGGGACACTCAATGCTAGCTAGGCAATTTAACCGGCTGTTATCTGAGAATGGTTCCGCCGTCTGCGAGGCGTGTAGGAGCGCTCGTAAGTGGCCAGCACTGAGACTTGCAAGTAAAAGTCCCTATCGTGTCTGCACTCCGCGAAAGTGATGTAGCGACACACCAGAAATTGCAGTAATCTTGGGGTCGATGTCAATTTGGGAAGACGTAGCTCGTGAGATGGTCAACATTAACAAAAGCCCACTAGCCTCAGCTGCAACCAAGAATCACAGAAGCAAAGAGACCAAGGACAGTACCTGTAATGCTGTAGTTTCACTCAACGCACCTTTTATGCAGGTTAGAAGTCAGATGCGATGCGTCTTCTCCGACCTATCACTCCACTGCACGCCACAAAAGTAGCGTAAGGAGATCGGCCACTTTTGCAACACCATTTCACACTAAACATTCCTCTGAAGATTATTGTTCGTGGCATCATAGTCCGTCCTATTAGTTCAGTGGCTCATATCTGTTGTAGATCGCTGAGTAGCAGGAGCTTATTTGTTCTTCCAGAGTCAGGCTTTTCTTGACTTCGAGTTGGTCAACCGACTGTTCATGTACATATTCGAAGAAGATACCTTGCAAGGAGAACATTGAGCGTCTTTGCACTTCCGTCTTTGATTGTGTGCAGATTTCACTCTCCAAAGAAAAGCGATCGTGATCGATAAAGAACACAGAGACATATACCATGTCCAAGACAGGGGATCTTGCTTCGCTCGTCAAGGACACAATCGATAAAGCGACCGAGTTTTCTCGGGACACAGTGCATTCAGACGGTCACTGGTGCGGTGAGCTCAAATCCAACGCAACCATCACCTCCGAATATGTCTTTCTCCGATACGCTTTCGGTCTGGATCTGACGGTCGATGGACCTTCATATGCCCGCTGGCTTCTGTCCGAGCAGAATCCGGATGGCTCATGGGGTCTAGCTCCAGAGATTCCCGGCGATGTCTCGACCACAACAGAGGCATACCTAGCCTTGAAGATATTAGGAGAAGATGTTAGATCTGCGCCCATGCAACGAGCGAGGAGGTTTGTGCTTCAGGCTGGGGGAGTGGCTGCCGTCCGGGTGTTCACACGCATTTTCTTGGCCACCTTTGGGTTGTTTCCGTGGACCGCAGTACCGCAACTCCCGGTAGAGCTCATCCTCCTGCCCTCTTCATTGCCCATCAATATCTTCAGATTGGCATCCTGGGCACGAGGGACGATCGCCCCATTGTTGCTTATTTGCCATCACCAGCCGGTGTATCCGTTGCCAAACGGACAGTCGGCGAACAATGACTACCTCGACGAACTATGGAAGGACAGCATGAATAAGAACGTGCCCTATGGCAAGTCACTATGGACCTTGGCGGCGGATTTTGACATGGCCGGTCTAGCATTCACCCTTGTCGATAAATTCTTGTATCAGCTCGGGGGGCTGCGATCGGTGCCATTCATGCGCGCTTATGCGCGCCGCAAATGTGTTGAATGGATTCTCGACCGCCAAGAAGCCTCCGGCGATTGGGGTGGAATCTTTCCTCCAATGCACGCGAGTATGTATGCTTTGCTGCTCGAAGGATACCGCCTTGATGACGAGCCGGTGCGCCTGGGTTTCGAAGCTCTGGAACGTTTCGCCTGGCAGGATGAGCAAGGCAAAAGGATCCAGGCCTGCGTGTCTCCAGTGTGGGACACAGCGCTGATGACTGTTGGGTTATGCGACGCCATGTCCCCTGACAAGGAACATCTCGATCGAGCGGTCAATTGGATTCGACGTCGTCAGATCTTTGACCTGCACGGAGACTGGCGCGTCTACCGTCCCAACCTCGTGCCCGGGGGCTTCAGTTTTGAGTACGATAACACGTGGTACCCCGATGTAGACGACACTGCAGCCATCATTCTCGCACAGATCAAACAGGACCCGACGTCGGTATCCTCTTTCTCCGTGGTGCAAGCCACCAACTGGATATTGGGGATGCAGAACCCTGATGGAGGATGGGCTGCCTTTGATGTTGAGAACGACAGGCTTTTCCTCAATAAGATCCCTTTCAGTGATATGGACAGCCTGTGCGACACCTCCTGTGCCGACATCACGGGTCGCATCCTTGAGGCATTTGGGCTGTTGATGCGAACTCCCGACAAGAGCAACACAGTCGTGCACCTCTACCCTCAACTTCGTCTGGCTTGCCATCGCGCCATCGGCTACCTCGCCTCCACCCAAGAGTCTAATGGAAGCTGGTTTGGTCGATGGGGGTGCAATTATATTTACGGCACTTCTCACGTGCTGTGTGGTCTGGCCTACTTTATTGACGAGGATAAACGCGCTCAGAGGATGGTAGATCATTCAAAAGAGTGGTTAAAATCTATTCACAATCTCGATGGTGGATGGGGCGAATCGTTGCTCACGTATAAAGACCCAAGTATGAGGATCAAGGGCCACAAGTCCACTGCGACGCAGACTGCGTGGGCGCTGATGGCGCTGTTGGCATATTTGCCACACACAGATGAGGCGATTGAGCAAGGCATCAGGTACCTCGTCGGGTCAATGGAAATCGTCGGTCGGAAGACGGGAGAATGGACGGAGGAAATGTCCACGGGAACAGAGACGGATAAATTGGACGCTGGGACGTGGACGAATAAATTGTACACAGGAACCGGATTTCCGAACCATTTCTATCTGGGATACGTGTATTACGCCCATTACTTCCCCATGATGGCGCTGGGGAGGTATGTGCGTAAAGCTTCGGCTCAAGGATGATGGCACGCGCGGTTGACTATATTGTAGTAAACATAGGGAGTTAATATACCGTGAACATAGTGGACCATTCCAGCTCTTTACGTGTAGCGGTAGCCTACCCTAGTCCGGAACATGAAGGAGAGTTGAGAAGAAGATATCAAGGACAGATGATCCTAATTCTTTACCTCGACTGCCAGCCTTGCTTGGCAAAGTGGATTGGAAGTCGAAGAGCATGAGGCCGAGTACGTAGCTCGAACTCGCGCATACATGCTCTCATGAAGCCATTGTTGCATTATCGGGCTGCACAGGGTAGATCAAACTTGTTTCCGAACTCTTTATCAGTATAATGTTCCGAGTCACGTCCCCAGAACATCATCGGTTTTTGTGGCCAGGTCGCGTGGCGGTTCTACTTATTCAATGGGCGACTTGAACCTCTCTTCGGTATATGTCGTTCTATCTCAATTCAAATGATCAGTGAGGTGTATTGTCATCGATAGAAGTACTTAGTTCTGCGTCTTATAGGATATAGAATGATTTCCATACGAACCATCGAGGATAAAAGAGAGACTGTATGTCGCACTCTGCTTCCACATCATCTTCTTCATGCAACTGATCTTATCACAGCCATCCGTGTGCCACTTAGTTGTTGGTTTCCGTTTTGTCGCGAGTGCGAGTGAAACTGGAAGGTAGCCTTCGTCGACATAGTCGCGATGAAAGGTCTTTAGTTCCATTCAGCGGCGGAGAGACTCGACCAGAGCTTAGCCAGTAGCTCATAAAGAGCTCTTGGTAGAGTATATTAGAGCCTGTACGGAAGGATGTTGGGTGAACAGAAATTCGTGCTGGCTACGACGAGTTCTCTGTAGATAATCTTTTCGGCCCCTATGGAGAGACAAATGGAGAGATTGATAAGAAGGTCAAAGATGCACAGTCATTGCTATGATGAAAGTCCAGATCGAGGGAGGATCAAGTGAGGATTAAGTAAATGTCTGAAAGATGATATGCCAAACTGCGAGAAGGTTCAAAGAAGTTGAGTCATTTGCAAAGGATGTTTGACCGGGTGTTTACTGTGCCCGAGGCTACGAGACAGGGAAAGTGATAGTAACACACCGGGACTCAATTCACCAACTCTTCTCTCCTTGGACCTACGCAACATCAGTGACTGCACATTCTTCCATCAAATGTACTCATTATCCCCGTCACCGATGAACAAACTTCTCAATTGTGCTCAACTTACCTCTCATCGCAACCTGAATCTTATCCGTGCCAAATGATCAGGTCATCATCCTTGCTGCCAAGAACTCTCATAACTACATCCATCTCCATCTCACCTCACAAACATCATGAGTTCAGACACCTTCCCACAATTTTCAAAGCTCCCCACTGAGCTCCGCAGCATAATTTTGAGTTTCGCGCTCCCCGAAAGGCCCATTGGGTGCTTCCTGTACCCGTACAAGCCAGGATACTGGAGCCCTCGACGACTGTCAGCAATCAAAGAGTGGGGCTCGTACTCTGAATTAGCTGGAATATTGATTGAGCCCGTCAGCTTCTCTATGCCACTTCTGCTCGTCAACCGTCCAGCCCGCGCCATCGCACGATCCTGGATGGAAGACAACGGCGTGCAGATCCGCTACTACAGGGACACCGAATCGCTTGTCTCTGTCTGTCCCTTTGATCCCCACAACGACGCTCTCTGTCTCTTCCTAAAACTGGGAGCCGTTCCTAGACGAGATGAGAAACCTCTTTGACAGGGGCTATGAGTTGCAGCGCCTGGCCGAGTTCCTCCCGGGTATGCAACGCCTGGCGGTTCCACTCAGCGTTCTCCAGGATCACGAAGACTCGATCCCTTGCGTTGTGTACATCTGCCCCTATATAGAGAAGGTACACGTAGTTACCAATCGGCAGCCGGACCTATTGTTCCCTCGCGGCGGCGACGACGACGACGACGACGACAACAACAACAGGGTGCATCAACGTTGGGAGCTAAGAAAGACCGAGGTTGCTAGACTCTGGGATCCTGCAATCGAGAAATTCTGGTGGGGGTTTCATCGTGGTGATGCACCGACGGGTTACGTCGCCGACTGGATTGAGAGAGGAGCGGACGATCTAGAAGAGATGATGCTCGATGCCTGGACCTCCGAACGGCGTAAGAAGCAACGCATTGTGCTCCGGGCTATCTATGCAGTCAGAAACGAGCATCAATAAAGAAGTTGTCGTAGACTTGATGCGTGTTGCGTGAGCTGGAATCCGGATCATCTACGAGAGCATGGAGTCTTTTTACCGACAGAGAGATGGGGGTGACATGTATCAATGTTATCTCGAGTATTCACAGCCATGTGACTTTTCTAGCACAAGACTAAGATGTCCCCAACATGCAGATATTTCTGAATGAGAAAGCAGTACCTGCAAGCCAGCTGTTACCAGCACCACCCAATCAACACCCCCCAGTAGCGCTCGACCCAACACAAACCTCCCCCGTGCAATTAAAGCCCACCGTCCCCTCCACATTCCCACACAGATACTCATCCGCAGCGGTCGAGCTCCCCGTGACCCGCAGACTCACATCCTCGACCGTGATTTTCTCGCACGGGGCCACCGCACTACACTGGAAACTGACAACATCCGTCGAAGGCAGCGTGCCCGACACATCACTGAAGTACAGATCGCGGACCTGGAACTTGGAGTTCGTGCAGTTTCCCGAAGCGCCCGAGAAGGTGGTGCATTGCGATACGGTGAACGGGGTGCCCTTGAGGTTGTTGAGCGACAGGTTCGTCGCCGTGAGGCCGGAGATATCTAGTGATGGTTAGCATTCAACTCACAATGATAAGAGAGGAGAGAGACATACACCCCAGACCGCCACCCCCGCCGTTCGGTGGGTATCCGACCTGATCCCCAGTCCAGGTCTTGACGTACACGGCATGCGTGGTCTTCTTGTATGTGCAATTGGAGACGCGAACGTTCTCCACCGTTTCGAATTCGTTGAGGTATTGTCCGATGCTGCCGATTGAGATGCCTAGGCCGGTGGAGAAGGTTGAGTCGGCGATGGTGATGTCGGTGGAGTTGCCCTTCAGACTGATGCTGTCGTCGCCGTTGACGACCTGCCAGTTGGTGAAGGTGATTCCGCTGCTGCGGATTGTGTTGGCTCCGTCGGTGTTTCCTGTTCCCATTAGTTGAGTCGGACTCCGCCTAGGTAGAAGGGTGAGCATACTAGAGGAACCGCCGTTATTGTTGAGATTGTTGACATAAATCGAATCGAAGAGCAGGTTCTCAGAGTAAATGATGGACATTGTCCTATCCCGTCAGCCTTGATCATTAATCTGCAGAGTTTCCTGCTGACAAACATACCACATTTGACTCTGGACAAACCTCAACCCCTTGAACGTGGAGTCTTGTGCCGTGATGGTCAACTGATGCGGTCGGCGGGGGTAGTTCGATACGCCGGAGGTGTAGCTGTACCACACCGGTCCACTGCCATTGAACGTCCCGTAGCCATGACCATCAAAGACAATATCCTTACCACCCAGGATCCAAGCAGTGGACTGATTCTGGTAGCCGACGTCCAGGGAGTTGGCGAGCCAGTAGCTTATGTTTGTGCTCCACTGTGAAGGTGATTTAGTGAAGGCCGTGGATAGGGTGTGAAATGCCCTACCAGGAGAGTTCCTTGGAGGTCAATCTCGACATCATTCAGCCAGGTCGTGTTCATCACCGAGTTAATGTGGTAGGTGGTATTGCTGAAGCTCACACGCCCGCCGTTGCCGCAGGTTGTCAGAGCATTGAGGATGGCCGGCACATCATCGACGGCGGTCGAGTTTCCAGCTGGGACAACACAGGTTGCTCGCGCGCGTCCGCTCTTGGTGGTATCTGACAGACCAGATGCGGGTCCTATCAAAGAGGCAATGCCAGAAATGAAAAGCAGAGCACTGGATAACATCCTGAGTTTCATACAATGGAGATGATTTTGTTTGCCTAACACATGAGTTCAAGGGGTAGGAAATCAAGATGCTTTATAGGTAGTGAACAAACCGTTATACTTTTGTACCTATACATTAGGTCCTTAGTCTGCGTTGAACATCGTCATGCTGACCCCTCAGACTCCGGGGTAATTCAACCCGACCCTGCCAAAACTCGGTTCCGTGATAGGTGCAATTTCCGATCCAGTTTCTCCACGATCTGCAGCGCCAATGAGTGTTGAGAAGGGCATTCCCCAGTTTTCTGGGGTATATTCAGGACTGCTGATGCTACACCTCTAGCGGAATTCAAGGTAATTCGTGGGCCTGATGGGACCGTCCCTGGGTCCTGCATAAGCGACTGAGAGACATGGACGGGGTGCGGCTCTTGGCATGCTGGGCATGGGCTGACGATATTAAGTGGCTCAAGTTCTGTTCTGTCTCCTGTCTCTTGTTTAATTCGCATGTTGGATTCACCCAGGCGCGCTATTTGCCTTGTAGAAGAAGGGTCATTATATCGCACATGCCTCGATAAAACATGTCAAAAGCTGGACGAACCTCGGTCAAAAACGGCAAAGAGCTTGCTGCGACTCTTTCTTCCTACTTCAGGCGTCCGATGGGGGCCATTCGAAGTTCTAAATGTATGTACTGCAGGAGAGAGGTGGAGTGGGTCCCCAGAATCCTTGACAGCGACTCCGCAACTTTACTTGGAACCTTCTCCACTGGAGCTCTTTGGCAGATAAAGTGAAAGGATCTTCAGCCTTTCGGCACACCAGGGATTATATAATCTACGTACAACACTATTGCAAGAGTACGCAAGTTGGATAGTGCGTTTACTCGAATCGCAAGTTTCGACATTCCAGGGTCACCTCCCAGCTCTTGCGACGACAATTCTTAGAAAATGCTCGCAGATTTCGTCTAACATTCGATTTTACAAAGTGGACCAAGAAAGATACTATTGCTACGAAGTGGGTCGAAAATATTGCTGCTCCTCTCGACAGGAAGCTAAGTATAAGATTTTGTATCGTTTCCTGCTCACAATTTTCCCAGAAAAGCAAGCCCCTCTTTTCGGAAATCCCAACATCCCAGATATCACGGACACAAATATATTCCACATCAAAAGTCTTTCTAGCTGCACTGGCATCAATCCGTGACTCACCACGAATCATAACTGCACGATGAGCGGTGAAGCAAGATACCAAGCCCCCCTACTATCTCGAGAGGGTCTGCAGTCAAATTCGATCTACAATCATACGATATCTCCCATCCCATCAGAACCCCATCCGCACCACGGACCGCGGAGAAAGTGAAGCGCATGGAAAAAGCGGATCTCGTCCGAGTCCCGAACCCTACAGACAGCCAACCACACCATCGGAAATTATCAGCTTGCGGGACCAAGAAACCCGGTATCGGCTCCGAAATATTATCTGATCGGCAACCGCCGTCCATCTAGCTCTGATTAGGGCTGGCCGCGACAGCGCCAGCACCAGGCCCCGCCTGAAGATACAGGCCCAAAAAAATTCTTAAGGATGCTTGCTCGCACATAGACGTTGGACACGAGGGCTACATTTTCGTCCGACACGTACACAAAACATGTCAGTCGAAACATCAACGGTAGCAGGGGTAGATGCCCCGGCCAGCCAAGCTCCAGCCGTCGTCTCGACCGTCAAAGAAGGCGAAGCAATGATCGCAGACCGTGAACTGGAAAGCGGCCCACACAAGCCGTACCGGCCCACCAGATGGCAGAGCAACCTGACCATCATCAGCTGCGTGCGTCCACTGCTTTCTACCAGATGCAAAAGCATTCTAATCCGTGTGTGTTAGTACATCGCCAACTTCAGCGACGGGTTCCAGAACCAACTGGCCAACCCCACCAATGTCATCTTCACCCACCTGCTGGGGAAATCCGGGTACCCGGCCGAGATGAAGACGCGGATCAGCAACTCGCTGATTATCGGGGCCATTTTGGGGGTGCTGGCGCTGGGGTACGTCTCCGACATGATCTCCCGCCGGGCGGGGCTGCTCTTCACCTCGGGGCTGGTGACCGTCAGCACCCTGATGGCCGCCGTGGCGCTGGACGTGCACCCTTCCCCCAACATGCTGTGGTACTTTGTCATCGTGCGGGGAATCTGTGGATTTGGCGTTGGGGGTGAATACCCTCCCAGCGCTGCTGCCGGCCTCGAGGAATCCGACGATGTGAGTCCCCCCCGTACCCCTGCAACAACAGCTGCATCGGAACTAACCGAGCCCAAAGTTCAACCGCCGCTACCGCGGCCCGGTCTTCGTCTCCTTCACGACCCTAATGGCGACGCTGGCCGCCCCGATCCTGATGATCATCTACCTGATCACGCTGAAAGCGAGCGACAACAACCTGCCCGTGACCTTCCACGCGCTCTACGCGATCGCGACGATCATCCCAGCGACGATCATGGTGCTGCGCTTCTTCATGACGGACTCGACCCTGTACCACCACAGCAACTTCAAGCAGCAGCGCCGCAAGCCGCTGCGGTTCTACTGGCTGCTGGCGCGCCGCTACTGGCGGCGGCTGGCGCTGACCTCGCTGGCGTTCTTCCTGTACGACTTCATCAACTTCCCCAACAGCATCATGTCGAGCAGCATCATCGCCTCGATGGTGACGGACGGCGACCTGCAGACCACCGCCGTGTGGCAGGTCATCCTGGCGGTGCTGCCGGTGCCCGGCGTGCTGGTGGGCGCGTACCTGACCAACGCGATCGGGCGCCGCTGGACGGGCATCGCCGGGTTCGCCGGGTATGTGGTGTTGGGGTTCATTATCGGGGGGTGTTATACGCTGTTGTCGCGGCATATCGCCGCGTTTGTCGTGCTGTACGGCCTGCTGCAGGCGTTCGGCCACATGGGCCCCGGCGCGACGATCGGGTTGATCAGTAGCGAGTCGTTCCCCACCGCCATGCGAGGCATGGGGTACAGTATCGCGACGGCGTTCGGGCGCACCGGCGCCGCGGTCGGTACGGAGTGTTTCACTCCGTTGCAGACGGCGGCGGGTGATAGTGCTACGTTCTATCTGCTGGCGGGTGTGGCGGTGCTGGGGATGGTCGTGTATTGGTTTCTGCCGGAGAGTGGGGAGTTGGATCTCGAGGCCGAGGATCGCGAGTTGGAGAGGTATATGGGGATGCACGGGTTTATGATGGAGAAGAGTCAGTAGGGGGGTTCTAGGGAGGGTGCTCGCTGAATCTAAGCTAGGTCACGATCAGTCATGCGGTTATGATAATGAGAGATGTTACAGCAAGAAAGATGGAGTTGATACACATGTACTGTACAGTGATTGTGGCATATACTACAATGCAGCAACTCAATTAAATTCAAGCACAACAAAATATATCATTACATCCAACTCGAGCAAAACAACAATCAAAAAAGGTATCTCAGCACACATCCCACCCTATCATCAATTATTCGTATATCGCATCACCTAGACCCCCTCACAGTCGATTAGCACAGCCCCCAAACCACACCAGCAAGAATCACCCAACCAGACTTACCTTACCATTAAATAAGTATCCTCAGACCCCGCTCAACTCACCACCTCCCCCCGCGCCCACCAAACCCACCCCCACCGCCACGACGGCCACCACGACCACCACCGAACCCCCCCGGTCTGCCGCCACCACCACCCCACCCGCCAGGACCGCCAGGACCCCCGAAACCACCACCGCCATGGTGATGATGATGATGAACATGACGACCACCACCGAACCCACCACCGCCGCCCATCGGCATCACCCCGCCCCCGAATCCTCCAACCGGTCGGACCGGAGGCCCGCCCATCCCGCCGCCCATCATTCCGCCTCGACGGCGTCGGTTGCCCATAAGAGACATGCAGGTTCCCATCTTGTTTTCTGGTAGAAGGAGGTGTATATCGCGATCGTTCTAGCTTCTAATAGAAGAATTGTAGGAGGAAAGGGTAAAAGCTTCGTGAATCGTCTAGTAGGAAGCGATCAAAGAGGAGGCAAAGGATCTCGTAATTTTTGCGGGATGTGCAAAGTCTATCAGCGTTGATGTGCGAAGTATAATCTCAGCGCAACTCGTAGAAAAAGAATCTCGTAAACAGCAAATCCCGAGAAGAAGGTGTGTGGAATCGTATATGTAGTGAATTCCCCGTGTCCAAGAGAACAAAAACCTTCAAGGTTAAATACTTCACCCCCCGAGGGCGAAAGAGAGTATTACGCGCGGCTTGGTTCCTGGGCGTGCGAAGTCGTTGCGTCATCGGCGCGGCGCAGTCCCCAGGCGATGTTCGGGGTTGGTGTTGAGTGGGTGGGTGGGTGACATCAGCGGGACACCACATTCGCCCTGTAGGGCTGGGCTTGCGCGGGCTTTAATCCGGTTAACCTTACCTTATCGTTTTGTCCCCATGGTCTTTTCGTCCACAGACTTGACACAAAGGGATGGGGGGAGTTCAAGGTGGAAGGATAGTATGACGACAACCGGAGAAGCTTTCATTTGACCACCAATACATGAATATTTTTCCTCCGGTAGGTAAGGTGCGATATGATACTAGTAAATGTACTTGAATTCCAACTCCGCATCCCCGGACTGCACCCGCCGCCGGTCCTCCATCTTCCCCTCCAAGATCTCCGCCTTGACCCGGTTCTCCCGGCGCAGATACAGCGCATGCGCCGTCACCACCCCCTGCGCCACGACCAACGCACCCATCGAGAACGAATTGCCCAGCACGTACGGCGACGACCGGTACACCTGGCCCGCCACGATGCCCGCGCAGTTGCCGACCGTCTGCTGGAGGCCGACAGCCAGGGCGCGCCGGTACTGCGGGGCGAAGTTCACGTTCAGCCACGCCACGTTCAGCCCGACCCCCGTGTACACCGCCACGCCGCAGAGGTAGGTGGCGAAGTACTTGACCGGGTCAGAGGAGACGGCCAGCAGCAGGATGTAGCCCACAATGCCGAAGATGTTGGTTCCGACGATGAACTGTTTGACGAAATCTTGTCAGCTATATAACAAATAATAAAAGCGGGGGGAAAGGCATACGACAGCGAATTTCGAGTACCGATCCGCGAAGAACGCGACCGTGACAGATACTGCAGCGGCCCAGATATACACTGGAACGGTGAGCACGTTGCTCATTAAGGAGTTGTAGCCCAGACTCCCGAGGATGGTCGGTAAGAACGTGCTGAACCCGTAGAGCAGGATGTCCTGGCAGAATTGCGTGATCGCGCTGAAGATCAGTTTGGGGTCCCGCAGGGCTAGTCGCATCTCCTCCCAGCTGAAGTGGTCGCTTCCCATGTATTTCTGACGCTGAGCGTTGCGGACGCGCATCATGTACCGCTCTTCTTCAGTGAGGAAGTAGGCGGTTGTCGGATCGTTGGGGAGGCCAAACCAGATGAGCAGCGCACAGATGATGCTGAAGAGGCCCTCGATAATGTAGACCCATCTATTTCGTGGCTTGTCAGTTGCCTTACACTAGGACCAAGAGGACAATGTATCAGGGGGGAAATACCTCCATCCAGCTTTCCCTGCCACACCATCCATGTGCAGTAATGCGTAGGCAAGTAAACCCCCAACTGCACCAGAAATGGCAGCGCAGCTCATCAGGTACGAGACTCGCTTAGCTTGCTCCTCGCGCCGGTAGACCATGGTCAGGTATAGATTCAGACAAGGGAAAAGACCCGCTTCACAGGCGCCGAGAATAAGACGGGTGGCGTAGAAAGAGGCGACATTGTGAATAAAACCAGTGAAGACAGTGGTGATGGACCAGACAATGCACAAGCCCGTGAGGATGTTGCGTGGGGTCAGCTTCTTCATTGCGACCGCCCATGGCGACTCAAGCAGAACGTAAGTGGCGTAGAAGATCGAGACGGCGATGGAGAACTCGTTGGTCGAGGCCCCGATGTCCTCAGGCATTCCGGCTACTTTGACATTTCCTGAGGATTATTAGCGAGATGAAGACACTCGTCTAGGACAGTACACACCAATGTTGCTCCGGTCGAGGAAACAAGACAAATAGGTCAACATGATGATAGGCACGAAAGCAAGGTCCAGCTTCAGGAGAAGCTTCTTCTCCTTGACTGGATCCAGCACCACATCGTCGATATCGCCCACATCGGTCTCCTCGGTGGTGTTCTGCGGGGGTGGTTTTTGGACCGTCTGTTTACGGTCCAGAGGGATATCATCCGCACGTTCGAAGGACATTAGTGTCACAAATGGATAGAGATTGATGGCCCTAGAAAGCTGCCACTCCGACTTGGAACACTCAAGGGGGTGTCAGGGGAGACATTAAGAACCGTGGAAACATCAGGGTTATGGTACTTGTCAGAGTGACATAGATCCCCGGCGATAAGGAAGGGGAAGAGGGGAGGTTTCCAAGCCGGCTATCTCCAACCCCGTACGCCAATCACCGGCAATTGACAAAAGCACTCACCAGGGTTACAACTGCATCGGCCCGATAGTCTGATAAGCGGTGGAGATAGCAAGGTTGTCATTGGTGCAGTGCCTCGAGACGATGGGGTTGTGATGCGGGGATCGACTGATGCTTATCATCTCCATCCCGCATATCGGAGCCCACATGCCGATACCACTGATATGGGGTATTCACTTTCGAGCAGGACTATCAATTGATTGCATAACATTATATCAACAGCAGAGCCTGACACAGACAGTTGAATTGACACTCCCAAGTTCTACTTACAAACGAGAGCACAATGACAAAAGACACCCTTTCCAACCCACCCGGGCTACAGCCCAGCGCCACAACCAAACCCTCAAAAACAACCACCACCACCCTCCCAAGCCACCAAGCCCGCCTCGCCAGCCGCGCCAACCAAATAACCAACACCGCCGGCCTCGCCCCAGGCTACCTGCAAGCCAACCTCCTAATCCTCCCCGCCCGCTACAGCCAAGACTTCCACCAACTCTGCCTGCGCAACCCCGTCGCCTGCCCCCTCCTCGGCGTCTCCCACCAACCCGGCAACCCCCACCACATCCAACCCGAAGGCTGCATCACCACCGCGGAGGATTTCGACATCCGCACCGACTGCCCCCTCTACCGCATCTACAAGCACGGCAAACCCATCGCCACGCACCAGAAGAACCTCCTCCCCTACTGGCCAAACGCCACCCCCACCCCCACACCCTCCCCATCCCCTCAACCTGTACAGCATGAAGAATACGTATCTTTCCTGATCGGCTGCTCCTATTCCTTCGAATCCGCCCTCACCACCGCCACCCTCCCCCCGCGCCATCAAATCACGGGCTGCCTCGTCCCCATGTACCGCACCAACATCCCGCTCCTCCCCGCGGGCATCTTCACGGGTGGACGCACCGTCGTCTCCATGCGCCCTTACCCGGCCCACGAAGTGGAGCGGGTCCGCGCCCTGACGCGGCCGTTTCTGGCCACCCACGGCGAGCCGGTCGACTGGGGGTGGGAGGCGCTCTCCCGGTTGGGGATTAGGGATTTGCAGGCGCCGGATTTTGGGGAGCCAGTGCCTGTGGAAGAGGGGGAGGTTCCGGTTTTTTGGGTACGTATTTCTCTCTTTCTTTTGGTTGCATGTTTATATTACGTTATTCCCCGGGGAAGTGCGGGGGATGTGGGGCCTTTCCGGGGTGTAGGGAAGTTTGTTTGGGGTTGTAGGCTGGGTTTCATTGCTAATTCTGTGATGTCAATACTGTAGGCTTGCGGGGTTACGCCGCAGTTGGCGGTGGAGGCTGCCGGGGATAAAATCGAGGGGTTGGTGTTTGCGCACGAGCCGGGCCATATGTTGGTGACGGATTGGAGGGAGGAGGATTTGGTGCGGTTGGGGCGGGGGTTGGGGGTTTGAGGAGGGGAGGTTATGATTGAAAAGTGAGTCGAGGGGATTATGCTAATTACTAGGAGGTAATGATGCTGCTTATGACAGAAGAGGGAAGATTCGTTCAAGGACATGACTAAACCACTATGACACAGTTCTCAAGTTCATCATATACTAGCAACATCACTGCCACCGTCAACCACCTTTTGATTCACACCCATCACTTCCTCATCATTACATATCGCAACCACGGCCGTTACACAAGCATGTTATATACTTCATCCTTCAATCCACACCCAGTCCACAACTATCTCACTTCTCCCTCTCCTCTCCCGTAGTTCCCAGCTCCTCCTCGATCTCCAAACTAAACCTCGCAAATTGGCTCCGAGCCCGGATCCGCTCCCCATAGCACATGAACAACACGGGCACAGCACAGAATCCCGTCGCCAGGGCCGCCAACACCGAGACCGCGACATTGGCCCCCATCCCATCGAACATTTGCCGGGTGAACAGCGGGAACGCCCCGGAGGCCATCGCCCTTAGGAACTGGACGGCTGCCGTTCCGCTCGCCGCGTAACTCAGGTAACTGTCGGACAGGTACCCGTACAGAACAGTGTCAAATTCGTTGAGCGCAAACCCGATCATGACTAAGGCGATGGTCGGGACAATCCAGGGGAGATCGGTGATGCGCGGCGGGATCGTCCAGGCAAACCACCAGAGCGCCAAGGCGAAGACGGGCGCGCCAATCACCAGTCCGTACAGTTTGTCTTCGGGCTTCACAGGCTGCTTCGTGGCTTTGCGGGCATCGAAGATACGATGATCCAGAAATCGCGTGAAGGTGCTGAAGACTACTCCCACTCCGATTGCCACGAAAGCAAGGCACGACTGGGCCGAGGTGTAGCCCATTGACTCGTAGATGGGCTGCAGGGCTTCGGTGAAGACATAGACCAGGGAGAAGGAGAAGGCAATCATGACGGCGACGATGAAGATAAGTAGCTCGCCGAAGAAGAGCTGCAGGGGGCGGAACAGGGAAACGCGGACGAATGCTCGGAAATTCGGGGTGTGATCGGGATTGAGCGGCTGTAGGGTCTCGTTGCCAGTCTCGTGGCGAATTCGCGCGACTTCGCGGGAAAGGAGGAGGGATGGACGGGATTCTTTGATGACGAAAAAGAACGCGGTAAGGACAGCGAATATGATGGCGTAAATGTAGAATACCCAGCGCCTAGAATGATTAGGGGTGTCAATCAATAGTGCTACAGGTGTAATGCAGACAACGAAGCATACCATTCCATGTGGGCAGAGATGTATGTACTCATGATGGGCCCAAGCAGTAAGCCCACGTTAGACGCAATGGTCCAGATGAAGATCACCCATATCCTGGCCCGCGAATCGAACATCTCCTCAATGCTGCCTCCGCCAACAGTGTAAGGTACCGCCGAGAGACATCCCGCAATGATACGCGCCGGGATCACCGCACCCAGCGAATGCGTCATCCCGATAATCAAGCAGCATACTGCACTTCCCGCAGAACTTATGATGTAAAGGTTTTTGCGGCCAAAGGTCTCCGACCAGGGTGGAAATATGACAGCTCCGAATATCTGACCCACGAGAAATCTGTCTTGTCAGTATCATCGACACCGCCCTAGCCGTAGAGCGAATCACTTACAGTGTCACGAAGATAAATGTTGCGAGGGTATTCCCGATATGATAGTCAACCTGAGCTTTTTGGGCCGCCAATGTCTAGACACGTTAGAAACGTCGGACAATACACAACGGGGCAGGGGGCAGAGGAATTACTCCGGCTGTGCTGGTGGCAGTCCTATTAGCTGTTAGCGATTGTCCGTTCTTGCTTATACATAGCGGTAAACATACGTGAATGTATCCAGAAGAAAGATGATACTACTATCAAAGGTCTTCCGGCTGGTCGGCCAGTTGCGAGGCTGCTTCTTGTTATACTTGCCCCAGCGGACGTACTTGCCGTCGGCTGTGAGCTCAAGTTGGTTCTTGAGCAAGTACTCGTCCATCACAATAGACTCGGAGACCATGGCTGTCGACTTTGTCTTCATTGTATCGGATGTGATTGCCTGGGGAAAGCGTCAGAGCCAGGGAAAAATATAGATAGACCTTCTACGGGGAGAATATCCCGGGCCATGCCTGGTGGAGGCTACAGCAGCTACCGCATTTCTCACGGCCAGCCATGCTGGAGAGATCGACACAGCTGCCAAGTCGACTCCCCCTTGTTGGCGATGCTGGACGTCATGACCGCGTGTATCTTCCGAGGTCAAGGTGATGTGATAGGCCACGCCTGCCATGACCGCAGAGGGAAATCGTCCTCCTGAGATTGAGGAGCCAGGTGATCATCATGGAGCTTCGAAGAGGTTGCTCTTGAAGGTCGACTAAGCTTGTCTGTGACTTGGAGGGGTGAGCAAGGGATGAGGGACCGACGTCTGATATGCAGGGCATTAGTCGATGCGACCATCTTCCTTCATAGATCATATGAAGTGTGTCTTTGATGTAGCTCTGGGGAATGCCCCGCCTCTCAAACCAGACAAGGCATTCTCAGACAGATACAGCATCCTGATTGAAGATTTGTGTCCATGAACTCAGTATCTTCACCTCTCAGATGAAGTGGTAAAAGTAACGGGTTGAGAAATCAGCGGAGGTGGAAGAACATTCCACGACGGACGATGCCTGGGGCTCCCTTCCCTCTTTAGCTTCCTCCAATGCAAGGGGTGCACGAAGATGACGAATAGGGCGCGTACAATGCATCTGCTCGGAGAAATTTCTATTGCCAGATTCAGGCAGTCTCTCCTATAGTTTCATTGAATCAGCTTCTGATGCATGACTTGTCTATCCCTTGGCCCAGAATTTCTTTTTTAGGTGATCCTATCTGACCGTGAGCCCGCCGGACCTCGGACGCACGACCACCTGCAGTTTTCGCATGATGTGCATAGTATGACATAGTTATTCATCATTACAAACCCGAGCTGTTACATGCAGTAACTGAGTCCGTGAACGAATGATTTGAAAATTCCGAAAATTCCGATGTCCATTGCAATTATGCTTTGTATTCATTGGTTCCATGAAGATATAGTATCTACACAGACTGCGATGGCCAAGACCTCCTTTGAAGCACTCTATTCTACGCTGAGGCAATGACACGCATGTCATCACAAGCCAATCAATGACAACCCTTCAGTCGTTCGAACTAGGGAAACTTGCTGCCTTATAGAACCAAAAAGGGCGAGTACGGATCTATCATGCTACAGAGAGGCCCAGCATCCAAAACATTAGGCAAATCCAATTCTCCGAAGACGGAGATACCGAGCCTGAACCCCGTCTCCGCCCCGAAACTCATCTCCGTTCATAAGCTACAATGAATCTTGGGGCCTGTATCCCCCAGCCTATTTTGGGGTCACCTCGTATAGCCCACCTGCACCCACAGCCGATCACCAGGCTGAACCATGGAACCCCCGATCATCGGATCGGATCAGATAAGATGTCCGGTCACAACAGTGGGGAGTAGAACGGTAGGATTTAGATCAGCTCATTCGGAGCAACCGAATCCTTTTATCCTGTATTATGAGACCGTAGAGACCGTACATATACGTCCATTCACCCAGTGCATTGTCCCAGAGACCATAACACGGGAAACTTGACTTCTTGCTCAACCACTACTGACTCCTTCACAAAAAACCAAGCACCACACTAATAATCCCAAATACTGGCAGTGACGAAAAACGACCACACCCACAAAAATGCTCCGCACCCTCCTCCTCATCCTCAAAACCCTCCACCTAACCCTCCAACAAGTCACCACCCACATCGCCCTCGCGCTCACCCCGCGCCTCCACCGCCTAACCTATCACACCGTCCGAGACCCGAAGGACATCGTGGTCAGTGGCGCCTCCTTCGCCGGCTACCACGCCGCCCGGGGTCTTGCCTCCATCCTCCCGACGGGTTACCGCGTTGTCGTCATCGAGCGGAACTCCCATTTCCAACTCACCTGGGTCCTGCCTCGGTTCTGTGTTGTGGCGGGCCACGAACACAAGGCTTTCTTCCCTTACAGGGGGTATCTCGCGCCCGTGGCGGAGGGGGCGTATACATGGATTACTGGGGCGGTGGGGAGGATCGTTCTCGAGTCTGGTGCGGGAGAGGGGAAAGTCGTGCTAGAAGAGTCAGGCAAGGAGATTGCGTTTGAGTATTTGGTCGTGGCGACAGGCGCAGTGGCTGCGGGGTTACCGTCGCGGGTTGGTGGGAAGACAAAAGAAGAGGGGATGGTGATGCTGAGAGGCGAGCAGGAGAGGATTCGGACCGCGCGGGATGTGGTGCTGCTTGGGGGTGGCGCGGCGGGTGTGGAGATGGCCGGGGATGTGAAGGAGCGGTATCCCGAAAAGAATGTTACGTTGGTGCATTCGGGGGAGAGGCTGTTGAATCGAGGATATGGGGAGGGGTTGAGTCGGAGGGCGTTGGATGGGTTGCAGGCACTGGGGGTGAAGGTGTTGATGGGGGAGAGGGTGGTGATAGACGACCAGCTGGAGCGAATGGAAGAGGTCAAGTTGGAGTCAGATCAAGTGGTAAAGTGTGATTGCTTGGTAGGTTGGGCGTTTATGCCCCCGAGCGAGGAGCTGGCTGACGCTTGTAGATCAAATGCGTTGGGCAAAGGCCAAACTCAGGCTTGGTGGGAGAGGTGTCGCCTTCGTCCATCGCTGAGTCTGGCCATAGTCGCATCTGCCCTACGTTGCAGCTTGTGGATAAGGCCTGCAGTCGGATATACGCAGCTGGAGATGTGACTGAGGTGGATGCGGTGCAGAATGCTCGTGGCGCATTTCAGCAGGCGGAGGTGGTTGCAAGGAACATCGTGCGAGCAATCAAGGGCAAGACTCTTGTCGAGTACCAGCCGAAGTGGTGGGAAGGTGCGACAAAGTTGACGCTTGGTCTGGTGAGTAGGCGTCCCACTATCAGCAGGCGAGGCTGACGATGTGCAGAAGAAGAGTGTGATGTACGTGAGTGACAGGTCGGCCGAGTTAATTCTTCCCACCAAGGGCAAAGAGGAGCTGGACAGTGCCCGCGTCTGGAAGTTCTTCGGGCTGAAGCCTTTCGTCGATGCTCAAGAAGAGAAGAGTACTTGAGAGAGGCTCTTTTATTTTCAGCATATTTTATGCAATGCAAATCTCGTGCCATCTTCCTCTAAGCATGGACGCTCATTTCTCAGCCAGTCCACTAGAGCCCGCCGAAGCTGAACGTGTGGCGAACGTTAACAAGCAGCGCGGCTTTTGCTGATGACGGTAATCCTCTTTATTCTTCGACTTGATCTTGCGTTCCTCCCGTGCATGAAAAATTCTTTCTCATAGCATCAACAAGCACAAGATACAGTCCAACAGAAGTTCAAGCATCTCTGGGCCATGTGGAGCGACCAGTGTCATGCAAGCTTCCCATCTCGCCTTCAGTGACGAGGTCCCCAGGCGCTTCTTGACAATATTTGTGATATTGGGTCGCTTCAAAGGGATCATTTTGCTTATCTGGTTTGTTTGATGAGACGGGCCTCAAGTGGTATCTCTGGCCTTGCTGTTGTTCAAGGAAGTGTTGTTGTACTAGAGAAAGTATCATCAGACCTGACCGAGAAGTTGATGGTAGACATTGCGGTGTGAGTTAATTCGTGCTGGTTTCAACATAGAATCACCTCATGGGCAATTCTGACATCAAGAATAGGTTGTGACTTGACATTTTGTGATGATCATGCCGCACTCCCGGAAGTTGTAGACTCAGTGCACATTGCATCACTCAGAATCGGTTCTCCTAGCCGGTTAGATGGAAAACCCCAACAGAGCTCGACGCATGACTTTCGCATCATCTTTGCTTCTCTGCCGCCTCCCTTCCGCCAAAATGGCCGCCCCAGCTGTAGAAAGTAAAGAGGCAGCATGCGCATAGAATGGTATGTCCAAACTATGAGGTATGTTCATTTGTCGGTGATCAGAGCGTCAGGCACGTGGGCTTAACACCGATGTACTCCGGAGTAGTAAGGGCAGCTCTCATAGGGCTATTTCACCATGCACGGCTTGCGGCAACTAAGGTACCTGTTGGCCGTCACGGGTCCAATTTGCCCCGCATAACCCCGACGATAAGCAGGCTTATATTTAATGCAGTGTAGATTCAGTGAAACTCGTCAAGACACTGATGCCTAGATACCTGGGCGAATGGGGCGCCGCAGGTTATACGAGTCAGCTTTAACCTAACTTGGGAAAAGGTCTTCTTTGTCCGAAATCCTTCACTTCCTCTTGAATATGAAAACGCTTTCCTGCTCGCTGCAGGCAGCCTCATGCTGTTTTCTTCTTGCCCTCACATCAATGTTTGCAAATATCCCTACTGTATAAATATAAATCTTCCATGGCAGACACTCCAGAGTTGTTCGAATTCACCGCGCAGAGACGCTTCCATCAGCGATTCATTCTCCCCGCGACAGCAGATCATGGCCCTTTGGCTGTGACATATGCTGATGTTGGGCCGCGTCAGCACGAAGATGGAACTCCGGTACCTACGATCTTAGCCGTTCCCGGTATGGCAGGGAGCCGACTATGGCTTTATCACAAAGACCACTTAGCAAATATGATCGGAGTCAGAATACTATCTATCGATCGGTGAGTGGCTCGCTCGTATTCATTAAATTATTCCGAATCGGATGCAAGTCAAGTTGCTAAGAATAACAGCCCGGGGCTGGGCGGATCAACGCCTGTTCCAATCGAGAAGCGAGTCTCTGTCTGGCTAGAAACCGTGACAGCGCTGTTGGATTATCTGTCAATCTCGCATGTGGTGCCTGTTTCGCACAGCGCGGGCACCATTTACCTGTTGAATTTGCTTATGCACAAGAGAGATTTGCTATGGCCTCAGACGCCAATCGCAATGCTTCTCGGTGAGTGGCAGTGACTACGATAGCACCTTATACGACTTCGCTAACGGATCGGTCAGCACCCTGGGTCGAGCCCAAGCATTCCGATGTGTTGTCCATGCAGATGGCTCAGATGCTTCCTAAGGGGGTGCTTAATCAGTGGAACAAACTCATTCAATTCACCTTGACTAAGGCAGCACCTGCTTTTGGTGCCAGTTCAGGCATCCTGACGAAAATGTCTTCCAGCTTACCCGGAATAGGCAAGAGCCTTGATCCCGAAGAAGCTGACGACGGTCTTACCACGTACGGAATGCCTGTAGAAGCTGTGGAGAAGCTAGAGAAGATCACCATGGAGTACATGTTTACCGAAAGCTCCACCGGCATCAATGATGAGGCGATGATCTGTCTGAAGAAAGGGCCACTGGGGCTGTGGGGGGCTTGTGAGGATCTCCCGGCTTATGTCCGGCAATTGGGGCAGTTGGAACAGGATCAAAAGCAGCATCATCCACAAGAGGCGCCCCTGCGTCTGAAAGCTATTTTTGCGGACAAAGATAGTATGATCGGCTCCAAAGGGCAGCAGTACTTTGTACAGTGCTTTACGCGTGCCGAATTGGGAGGTGGTGTGGCTTTCGAATCCGTGGTAATGCCGGGGACCGACCACGATTCTATCTGGTCAACGCGGACAGGAGTGTTGGAGAAACTCATGTGGGACATCAAGGAAATCGCGCAGTAAATGCCGCAGGAAATAATGAGAGTTTTTCGTGTCTCAAAGAGTGCCCTGCGATAAAATCAATTAATAATGCATCCGTGCTCACGGCATTTGTCAGCAGCTCCTTCGACACTTCTCTGACGCCATCTTGTAAAGCTTGCTGGGTGCAAGTATAAGAACCATCCCATTGTCCAAGCCTACCATGATAAACGATTCACTTACAAGACTCAACTGTTTGTGCCTGCCAAAGCCATCATGAGCCCCTCTACTCTCGTGGTCAAAGCCGACCACCTTCCCTACTACACTCCCGCCAATAATGCCGGCGCTGCCGTTCAACCCCGCGATGCCGCTACGCCGACCCTTTTCCGCCCGTTGACGATCCGCGACGTGACCTTCAAGAACCGTGTCGTGGTTTCTCCCATGTGCATGTATTCCGCTGAACCCGATCCGTCCTCTCCTCTTGTTGGCGCCCTAACCGATTATCACGTCGCCCACCTTGGCCATTTCGCTCTCAAAGGCGCCGGTCTAGTTTTCGTTGAAGCGAGCGCCGTGCAACCGAACGGTCGCATTTCCCCTAATGATGTCGGATTGTGGGACACAGCCCCGGAGTCGGAGCAAGTCAAGGCTCTCGAGCGGGTTGTACGCTTCTGCCACGCTCAGGGCGCCAAGGTCGCGGTGCAATTGGCCCACGCCGGACGCAAGGCCAGCACGACGGCTCCTTGGTTAGCCACGAAGGCCGGGAAGCCAACCTTGAAGTCGGACGAGGACGCATTCGGCTGGCCTTCGGATATTGTCGGGCCATCAGGTGGGAAGGAACATATCTGGGACGGCACAGGCGAGGGATACTGGACGCCACGGGCGCTGAGCACGGAGGAGATTGACGAGGTGGTCAAGGCCTTCGCCAGAAGCGCTGAGGCGGCCGTCCGAGCTGGTGTGGATGTCATTGAAATTCACGCAGCGCATGGGTATCTTCTCAACCAATTCCTGAGTCCGGTTACCAATAAGCGGACGGACAAGTATGGTGGGAGCTTTGAGAATCGCACTCGACTTCTGCGGGAGGTCGCGGCGGCTATTCGAGCGGCGATCCCCAGCGGCACCCCACTGTTTGTGCGTGTGAGCGCGGTCGAGTGGCTGGATGGAAAGGCTGTGGCGGCCGAGTCCGGCTCTTGGGACCTCGACAGTACGGTTCGCTTGGTTGCGGACCTGCCGGAACTCGGAGTTGATCTAGTGGATGTCAGCTCTGGTGGTAACCACAAGGACCAGAACATTCACATGAGCAACAAGAATTATCAGATTGACCTGGCAGGTCATATTCGCAAAGCAATTCGGGAAGCTGGAGCATCGACGCTTGTGGGCAGCGTTGGATACATCACGGACGCAGAGCAGGCGAAGGAGATTGTAGAAGGAGCGGAAGAGGCTCGCGCAGCGGAGGCCACCCTGTCTGGATCATTCCCACGCGCTGATCTGGTGTTTCTGGCCCGCCAGTTCCTGCGTGAACCGGAGTGGGTGATCAACGCTGCAAAGACGCTGGGAGTCCCTATTGAAAAACCGGTTCAGTTTGGACGGGCCGTGTAGGGGGCTAGAGGTGAGGTTATGAGAAACGATCTGATTAATGTAAATAGATTTGTATGTTCTGAATAGATTTTATCTGTTTCATTTTCCGGAATTGAGTATCTGAGCTGAAGTATCTCAGAGGCAGGATGCGGGATGCGGACGGAAAGCGCCGAGGTCCTCGCGCTTGACCGCATCGGAATGACGAGCTGCATAACAAGTAACAACTCATCAACCGCCACTGATTCATCGATATGTTCGCTCCCTTAAGAACGCCAACCCCGCACTTTCTCCTCGTCCTTCCCCCTCGTTCTCAATTGACTTTTGCCCAACAATCAACAAGAATCAAATCCGTCTAACATCACCATGGCCCTCAAACCCGGAGATTCTTTCCCCTCTGACGTTGTGTTCCAGTATGTCTTCAATTGCCCGGGGGAAGCGGTGAATATTTACTGAGACACCATTGGATAGGTACATCCCCTGGACCGAGGAAAGCGGCGAGATTACCTCCTGCGGAATTCCCATCAACTACAACGCCTCGAAAGAATGGGCCGATAAGAAAGTCGTGCTCTTCGCCGTGCCTGGTGCGTTCTAATCTACCCCATGTTTTCTCTCTAGGTGGAACAATGAGTACTAAAATGCGGATCCAAATCCATAGGAGCTTTCACCCCCACCTGCTCCATCAATCACGTTCCGGGGTACATCCAGAACCTTCCGCGGCTTAAGGAGAAGGGAGTGGAGGTGGTCGCTGTCATTGCCTCCAATGATCCATTTGTGATGAGTGCTTGGGGCAAGGCCAATAACATCAAGGGCGATGATATCGTATGTTCTTTAATTGAGTCCCCTGTTTCCCACCTGACGAGTCTAGCTTTTCCTCTCCGATCCCGATGCCAAATTTGCCAACTCCATCGGCTGGGCGAATGGCGGCCGCACCGGCCGTTTCGCGATCATCATTGACCACGGAAAGGTGACTTACGCACAGATTGAGACAGAGAAGGGAGTCAAGGTAAGACACCGGCTTGCATTCACCGGCTCTGTTTCAGGAGTTGCTAATCTTCAACATAGGTTTCTGGTGCAGACGCTGTGTTGGCTCATCTGTGAGGATAGTGAAGTGGGTAAAGCAAGTGAAGAAATCTATAGAGAACAATTTCGTGCCTGCCTTGTGTCTTCGTGTCTGAGAATTGGATCCCAGTGGTCGTGCTTTTGTAGTTCTGTAATCCTGAAGAGAACGATGCGTTGACCACCATCTCGAGCTGGTTTCGAAGCTTATGCAATCGACTCTCGAATCTTCCACAGTCCTTGCGGGTGATCCGGGGCAATCAACCACGGCATTGATTATGAATCCTGTGGACCAGGTCCACGACTCACGGTCATGAGACAATTCGTCGATTGGAAGCTATCAAGCAAGCATTGCCCAGCATGTATTAACCTGATTAGTGTCGGATCTCGGGCCAGCTCGGTCCTGATGAGGTTATCTATAGTTGGTACTAGGTATAGAGTACTTGTGTCTCTCCGCTGCTTGTAAATCCTTCCGAAGAGCTTGTTTCAGTTTCCTTCTCGTCCGTAGCTATGTCAACGCCCTGAACTTGCTCGAAAATTGGTGGCTTAGCGTGGAATAGGTGGGTCCACCCCATGCGGTGTAAGCAGCTTGCATGAAACCCCGGATTTAAGACTATTTCTCGGGAATACTGGAAGATCTACATCCAATCACGATATGGAAGCCCCTCTGGAAACCCAAAGAAAGCAGTGGCATGTTTTAAATTGTGTAAGGAAGAAGAGGTGAGGAGAATTTAACCGATAGCTCAAGAACCGACTAATCAGTTTTGGGGAAAGTCTCCCGTGCCCCGCCCGTTCCCGTTTTGTGCTGCTGAATAATCTCTTTCAAGCTCTTGATGTCATCCATTTCTGCGACTGCAACATCTATATAAACCTCAAAGAGAGAGACATTGATCGAATGCAACAACATATAGTCAATTCCTCATTGATCATACACTTTCCATCATGGCTCCCAAAGTTCTCGTTGTCCTCACCTCCCAGGACCACTTCCCTGCTAACAACCACCCCACTGGTTGGTATCTGGTGAGGACCCCGCCATTCGCACAAAAATCAATTTCTATGACGATGAGCAACTGACACTGTAAATAGCCCGAGTTCGCTCACCCCTGGGAAGTTCTCCATGAGAAGGCAGAGCTGGTCATCGCCTCCCCCAAGGGTGGCAAGGCCCCTCTCGACCCCAGCTCCGTGAAGATGTTCGAGAGCGACCCCTCCTCGACCAAGTTCCTAAAGGAGCAGGAGGCTCTCTGGACCAACACCGTCAAGTTGTCCGATGTCGCCTCCAAGGTCTCCGAGTTCGATGCCATCTTCTATGTCGGTGGCCACGGACGTAAGTCTTTTTGTCATCCCAGCCTGTCGATTGAGAATGGTACTGATTCCCACTAGCGATGTACGATCTGCACAGCGACAAGACGTCCCTGGCTCTGATCCAGGAGTTCGCTGCTGCTAAGAAGCCCGTCGCCGCCGTCTGCCACGGTCCTGCTGTGCTGATTAACGCGACCACCCCCTCCGGCGAGCCTCTTCTTGCTGGCGCGGAGGTCACCGGTTTCTCCAACACCGAGGAAGACCAGGTCGGCCTCAGCCCCATCATGCCTTTCATGCTGGAGACCGAGCTGAACCGCGTCTCCGGGGGCAAGTACGTCAAGGCCGATGAGCCCTGGGGCGAGAAGGTTGTCGTCTCTCAGGTCGCTGGTCTTGGTGGTGCTCTCATCACTGGCCAGAACCCGGCCAGTGCCACCGGTGTTGGAAAGGCAATCATCAATGCTCTGGGATTATGATTGATCTGATATGTGAAATGATACCTAAATATGCCGATCTGATAAGTCTAATTAGTGATTGATTTATATTTTTGTTCACGAGAGTTGTTTACTTTTGATCTGGGACAAATTGCCGGAGAGAGGTGCTTGGCTGATCCATAAAAATCCCAGTACTCAACCCCGTCTTCTGCAGGTGCAGTGTCGATATTCTGGGGCCTGAGACACGTTGCCTGTACCTTACTTGCCCATATCCTCCGGTACTATCTCACTCAACGAACTTCAGAAGCAGAAATGTCAGTGATGAGTCTATACTTTCTTCTAAAGCAGGCTGTGTCAGTCTACATGCCGAGAAACACTTAGGTAACATGTCATCTTGGCTAGGATCTTTCCTTAGAAGATGGATCGGAACACATACGCCGACGGAATTAGACATCGGTCGACCTTTCCTCCATGACGCCAATTGACGTCTATTAATTGATGATATGGCTAGACAGAATCTACATCCGAAGCCTTCCCAGGTGTAACACTCTCACATTGCGAGAGATCAATCTTAAGTGCTATCATTGACCCTCGACTACTAGATCTACATCTTAGACATCATCCATCATGATTGCTACCGACATGACCATAATCCTAGACACCACCCTCGACGACCTCTATTCGCTGGACAGCGACGAACCTCATGGGGTGGTGACTGCGTACCCACACCCTAGCCAGCCCTCGCGGGCGATGCCTCACCCCTTCTCCTCCGAGCACTTCCTGTATGGCATCACCTTCCCCAACACCACCGCCCCGAACGCGATGCAAAACATACTCGAGCGCGGCATCGCGCAGCGCTACTCCTTCATCGCCGGCCGCGCGCCCGTCATTCTGTTCGACTCGCTTCCCGCAACCACCGACGCGGAAAGCCAGAAGAAGCCAGAACAACCCCCATCCCCAGCCATCGCCGATGTTGTCACTCTCCACGCCCAGCTGCACCCAACCCAACGACCAAAGCTACAGTTCCCCCGCAACGCCTCCGCAATCGACCTCCCGCCGAACACACAGATCGCCATCATCGTCCCGCAAGACGAACTGGCCCACCTCCCGCACATCCTACCCCCGGAAACCCACTACCACCTCCTCAGCAAACGGTGGCTCGCACTCTCCTCCCTCCCGACGCCAAATTCCCTCATCATTGACCCCATCATCCCCCCAACTGCGGACCACCCCGCAGCCATCGAAGCAGAAATCAGCCGCATGCTCCACTCCATCCAATCATACCCCTCCCTCCCCTTCGTCATCAAAGTCTCCGTCGCCGCCTCCGGCCGCGGTACCCTTCTGGTCCGCTCCGAAACCGACAGATCCGACGCCTACATTCGCCTCCGCGCCATCCTACACACCTCCTTCCCGCATGTCACGCCCCAGAACGCCCACCTCCACCCTCTGGCTCTCATCCTCCAGCCCTTCGTGGCGGGCGAGGCCCACGGCATCTCCTTCTTCCTCACGCAGACCGGAAGGGTGATCTTTCACACGGCCTCGCGGCAGCAGTTCAACGCGCAGGGCCAGTGGTGCGGCGGGTGGGTGTCGTTCCCTGCGCAGCAACGGCTCAAGGAGCGGTACTGGGGGGTTGTCGTCGCTTTAGCGGAGAATTTACATGCGGAGGGGTATTATGGGCCGGTTGGGGCGGATGTGATGACCGAGGAGAATGGGGGCCGACACGTGATTGTGGATGTGAATCCGCGGGTGACGGGGTCGTATCATCTGGGGTTGTTGAGGGGGCATTTTGTGGGAAGGGGTTTGGTGGAGGTGGCGGTTTTGTCGCCTTTGTATGTTATTGGAGATAGAAGTGGGTGGGTGGAGAGGTTTGCAAGGGAGATAGAGGAAGGGAGGATGATTGTTACGGCTTGGGTGCAGGGGGTGGATGGGGGGAGGAGTTATGTAGCTGTTACGGTGGGTGGGGAGGATGAGAGACGGTTGAAGAGGTTGGTTGGGGAGGTGGAGGCTTTTGTTTGGGAGGGTTATTCGGGGGTTGGAGAGTGAGAGTATGTACTGTACTGTGTTGGGCATGGGCTGTATGCTTAGGGGGAGGAGGTAATCGCATCCATAGTGTTGTTTTTTCTATTTTAGCTTCACCCTACCTCCGTCTTGATGGAACTAAAGAATACTAGATCCCACAGCAGAACATCGCCCTCAACCGATCCCAAGGCCGTGAGCTAGCCATCCATTGCGCCTTGCGACTCAGCCCCTCCCCCTCCCTTTCCTCACCCCACTTCTCATTATACTCCTCCACTGCACAAGTAGTTGCAAACACATCATCCTTATACCTCATCTCCTCCTTGGGGGCCTCGAACCCCCGAATCGACTCCACCACCAACTCAAACTCCCCCTCCTGCTCTCCAAAGAAACTACACAACCACAACCATCAGCACAAATCCCTATCCCAAAACATCTTCTCCCCCAAAAAAGAATGGACGAGAGAAGAAAAACAACTCACCTCCTCACCATAATCCCCACCCTCCTCACCCTCTCCAAATCCAACGGCTTCACCCCATCCCTCATCTCCCTCCCACGGTACGTCGGCCGAAACTCCTTCCACGCAAACCGTAACCTCCCACCCCCTTCCGGTACGGTGAAGTCCACCTCCCACGACAGCGAGCTCCGCTCCCGCCCGTCCGGCCGATTCGGCAGGATCTCATCCTTCAGCATGAGGGTGTAGCGCTTGTCGTCGGCGTGGGGGACATGCACCTCTATCCCCGAGAACCGGGAGAGGTCCCATTCTTTGGTCGTGGTGGTCGTGCGTTGGGAGGCGAAGCCGGCGCCGCCCAGGGTGTGGATGTCGAGGGTGCCGTGGAAGCGGGCTGTAGTCTTTTCGTCGTCGGAAGAAGAAGGCGTGATGGTGAGGTAGGAGTGGGAGGCGCCGCCGCGGACGCGGTCGTCGGAGGAGGTCCAGTCTTCGGGGGTCCAGGGGCTGGTTTTGTTGGACGGTTGGGTTAGTGGCTTGGTGGTTGTGGAGGTGATTAGGGGTTTGGCCGGGTCTTACTTCGGACCTCCGAAGAGGTAGGTTGCTGTTGTGGGTGACATTTTTATTGATGAGTGTGTGTGTGTGTAGTTCTGAGAAAGAAACAAGGGGAATTGAGGTGCGCGGGGTAAGAATGAGAGAAAGAGACGTAGGTGGTTTTTTGTGGATGTTGTTGATTCAGATTCCAGAATCGCGGCAATCGGGATCGGACGGTTTTCGGCATCGATGACGTCGGGATTGCGGAGCCCCGATTGCGGAGCCCGGTTGGGTTTAGCTTCGGTGAATGGGGGTGGTCCCTTTACATATTCCATGTTGGGGAGTGGCCAGAATTGAGCTTGTTTTTGTCTATCATGGAGAACAGCTCTGCCGGAGCGGCTTCGTGGGAATGGAGCCGTGGAGGACCGGGGGTACGTCGATCTGGCCCAGTCTAGATCGTGGAGCTTGGGCTTTATCAATCTCCTGTGGCCTGTCCGGGCACTCATCACAAAGACAATGCCTAGGTCGCAAGACTTTGCCTGCGTGTTTCATGCAATACTCAGGGATTAGTTATATATGGTATGTAAGATTCATCTTGGTACCAGACTCTAAAGTCATGATCATTGTCGGTCGTTCAGTGCTCCGAAGAATATTGCGCACTAGAGGATACGGCTTAGAGTCGAGGACTTAAGTATCTCGATCTCTGGAACACACCCTAGTTGCACTCAATGTTATACAGTCAAGACGCAGCACATTTACGAAAGCTGGGTGGATAACTGAGGGCGGAGAAGACTGGATCGATCAATACTTGATGATTGTGCAGAACCAAAGCGAAATCTGATCGAGTATCTTATCGGCTCAAGCTTATCCCGCGGGTCATGCCATGACAGCGCCTGGAAGGAGCATTTTGATTTAAATCTGGACACGCATGACCACCACTCTCGTCACTCGAATCAGCCACACCCACAGAGTTCATGTCAACGTCTTCCTGACGCAAAAAGAAATGCATCCCATGGTAGCCACATGTCCTCTGTATATCCGGCGGAACGAAACATATCCGACGGATATACATGTAGTACTTGACGTCATGTGTATGTAGTCTCAACCACAGCATATATCAACGATTAGTCCTCTCATCGATTGTGGTGATAAGCTATTGCACTCATTCATCTCCTGAGCAAGCACCCTAAAAACCAGAATCATCCACCACCACCAAACCCGTTCCACAGCAATCGTCATCATGGTTGCACACTCCGGAGGTATCACGAACGGCCACCCTAGCTCAGTTCGGTAAGTCATACTATGTTTGTCATCGACAGTGCATGTAAGGTAGATACTCATTACTTCATCATGTAGTTCCCGAAACCTCGCCCTCTTCAGTATCTTCGGCGTGATTGCCGGCGCCGCTCTCGTCTTCCGCGCCCAGTCGCCCAGCAAGGATGAGAAGCTGTTCTCAAAAAAAGAAGCTCAGACGATGGTTGGAGGGCAAACGGGAGAAGACCGAGTGGGACGGGCACCGAGCCATCAGCCCAAGAACTGATCTGAAGGATTACTATGAATGTTATGATTATTGAGATGTGACTAAACTGTACTTATATGTAAAGCGAATGGCTGGGCTATATCGCATGAAATATCATTGTTGATGAAGTCTTTCTGTTTCAACATAATGAACAAAACGTCCTTCAGTATAAAACGCTATACAACGCTATCTCAACGCTTGAGGAATCCATAAAACCACTCTCAAGATCAGTGCCAATAGTTCGGGGCAACCCCCCGAATCAACCCCCACGCCTCCTCCAGCACCTTGACCACCTCCTCCGGCAACGGCTCCTTCTCCAGATCCGCCAGGTTCTCCTCCAGATGCCGCACACTACTGGCGCCAATGATAATCGCGTCCCCCAACTCCGCCCGCAACTCGGAATGATACTTCAACCACCGCAGCGCCACCTCCGCCACCGTCAGCCCCAACCGCCCACACACCTCCTGGATCCTCTCCAGCGCATCAAAGTACGTATCATTCCAGTACCGCCCGCGCGCCACCGCCCCCTGCACGATTGCCGGATCGAACCGCGACCCGGCCTCAAACTCGGTCTGCTGGCGCGAGTACCGGCCCGTCAGGAACCCGCCGGCCAGCGGCTGGAACGCGTACAGCGCGATGCCATACTTCCGGAGACAGGGGATGAGCTCCGCCTCCACGCTGCGCTGCAGCGCATGGTACACCCCCTGGTAGACCGTGGGGCGGATCCAGCCGTGGCGGATGCAGAGCTCGCAGATCTGCGCCACCTCCCACGCCATGAAGTTGCTGAGGCCGAAGCGCGCGAATCGGCCTTCCTCGTGTAGGCGGTGGACCTCGCGCAGGGTCTCCTCGAACGGCACGCGGCGGTCCGGCCCGTGCAGGTAGAACAGGTCGACCTGCGCGGTGTCGAGCGCGCGCAGGCTGTCCTGCAGGCCCCGTCGGACGTCCGCGGGCGTGTGCGTGTATGTCTCCACGTTAGGGACCTGGCTGTTCGCGTTTGGGTACAGCTTCGTGGCCATGGTCAGGCCGCGGGACTGCCAGGCTAGCGCGGCGAGCATTTCCTCTGACGAGCCGTGGCCGTAGAGTCGCGCGGTGTCGATCTCGCGGTGATGGTGTCTTTGGAAGGTGTCGAGAATGGTGGATGCTGTTGCGTTGTCGAAGACGCGCGCACCGAGGGTGTCTATCTCTCGGTTAGGGTCATGTTTCAGTTAGTGCAGGGTGGGTGTAGTAGATGCGTACTGGGCTTGCCAAATGTCATGGCACCGAAGACGATCTTGAGGTCGGTGTTGTTGGCCATTGCTGCTGTTGGCTTTAGGTTGTGATGGTAATGTGAGACCGGTGTCACTTAGTGTTATTGTGCAAAGACATGGTCCCCGGGCGGAAGCACTCCTGATATACTTCATCATAGATGATGCTCTTTGGCTCCTCGTGTCAGCCTGGAGGTTATTCCCGTAGGAGATAAGTCATGACAGCTAACTCCGGCTGCCAAGCCCAACGCTTAAAGTGCTGAACCGTGTTCACTGCAGTCATTTAGATGAAGGCGATTTCCAATACGAGCCGTGGCTGAGACTTGCTACGTCATTTAGCACAATTCAAGCCCACCGTTATGTTCATCTCACCTGCAGCTGCGGAGATTTCCGCAAACGCCAAGACCAAGCCGATCAGCCGAGCAATCAACAGATGCTTGATTCGACTTGACGAGGCAATTGACAGCATGTCAGAATCTCGAGATAGACATTAGATTAAGTCTTCGACCTTTCTTAGTTCTCTCGTGCGACCCGAGCTAAAATCCGTGCAAGAGACATGCAGATCTCCGATCTACAGCCGTCGGTGTCCCCGGCGCGCGCCGATCTTACGTCCGAGCTTATCTCCGGAGGTGAAAATGGAACAGAACTGTAGAACATTCTGTCATAAGCCTATTGATCGACATTCTTTGTTCTGAGCTCGCTTCCAGTCTTTCAGGACCCTGCAGAATGTCTCGTTGAGCTAGAGTGGGTATGTATTGGCATTGGTGTTTGCTAGTTCCATGCTAGTAGATGCAGCTGTGAACGTATGCGTGGTGCTACCACTGCACGCACCAGGCCCTCTGTGCCTGCATATACTACGTTCTCATAAATGAAATAAAGCCGTCTGTGATATGTGGACTGGCATAAGACATTCTTTTATGATTGATCTGAGCTTCTGTGTTGCTTCGAAATGTGCACAACAAATGCCTACGTATATATACTCAGTAAGTGGGTCGGTCTGCCGTATATCCTCTGGCCTAAACATATCGATGATAGCATTCTCGCCACAGCAGACTAGGTTAGAACAATACACAAAGCATCGAACCAGCCTGATACTTGCATTTCTTTGTCATTAATGCAGGCTCCAGCTTTTCAAGGCTGCTTCCGGATTCAAGTCAGACTATGCGTGAATATAAACCGAGGCTCGAATAGGCCGATTCCGGAGTTCTGAGCTCCGATCGCCGGACAGGCGGTACGGAAAAAATATCAAGCGGCTGCCTGCAATTCTCAGTCAGACCGAGTGTGTGTGGTGAAGATAGCCTAGGCGCGAATCATGGCCTCTGAGTTTGAGATAAATACGGTCTAAATGTTAGGGGAGTGCGGTGATTATGCTTATTATGGGGTGGTCCGGAGAGATTGGCCCGAGCCCTCAACCTGGCTCGCTGATTGGTGTCTCTCGCCGGCCCGGTCGAAGCTCTGATTTTAGCTCGGTTTGTTTTGGAGGCACCGATTTATCGCCCGGTCTAATCACCACCTTCCGGGCTGAGTCCTTCTCCTAGCACGCCATTTGGAGGCATGGAAAACAATCAGCAACATCTGGACTGACTTTCATAGGGCCGACGAGACTTTGCAACGCAAAATGCGCCCCAAATGACGTTTAACCCTCGGTGCATGAAGCATGCCTTGTCCCTTCGCCGATGGCCACCATCATCTGACGTGCGTGAACTATCGTCTTCCAATTGACGCCTCTGTCGCCCACCCCTTCACTCTCTCGAGCTCGGGGAATTCCGAGCGGGGTATGACAAGCCGGCCTCACGGGCTGGCCACGAGCTTATCTGTTGCCACGACGGCTGCCGCTGGCCTGCACCACCACTCTTGGCAGGCGGAAAGACCTTCCACTCTCCGTGTCAATGCTTGTTGTCTCCTCTTCCTCCTTACGTGGGGTAGATGGGTGATGGCTGCATGGTGGTCTGACGGCAACTAGCATAGTTGACTCCGCTCTGGATGGCGTGCGACTCTCGTGGTTCGTCGTGCTATCAGCTCCAGTTGTTGAGTATCGAACTAAAATACGCAAGCAAAATCGCCAGCCAGGCCCGGATGCAATTACAGCGTTACCCACCTGCTGTCGGTTCTAATACCTTCCTTGCTCGGCCAATCACGAAAAGAGCGATATCAGAATGTCGTTGACTATCTTGACCTTGGCTGGCAAGCTAGATAAGCCCTCCAGACGGCGCGGGCTCAATATCTGCTCTGTCGCAGTTGGAAGAGGTGAATGAGAACAGACTTCAGGATGACCTCTCCCTGCGTCGAAGCAAGAAGTAAGGGTTGCATGAGCAGTAGGTAAGGAGTAAGACCTCTGGGCTGTGGCGGGGAATGTCTAGGGCGGATGGTGTGCTTTTAGGCGTTGTTGCCATATCGGGTGGGTCTATCGTAAGCCAGCGTCTGCAGACGCCCTCCAACTATTGCAGCCCTGCTTCCCTCCTTCTCTGTATCGCTGCTGCACGATAGACGTGCGCAGCGTCCACCCGCGGTGGCGATTAGATATCGAATCCATCTTCCACTATAAATGCCTGGCGGTCGGCTCGGTCGCATACTGTCGCCCCCCGGTTCAGGTTCATCGCTGTGACACTCCAAAATCCCCACCATGGCTTCGGAAGTCGTTGCCACCGGCAAGCCCAAAGATGAGATTGAGACACACTTGGCAGGGGTAGACGCTGATGGGAGTAGCTTGGAGCGCAACGAGGAGAAGGAGGAGGTGAACGTTGCCGAGATCCGAGAAGTCACTGCAGTTGAGGCCTTTACATGGAATGTCGATGGGGATCAATCACCTTGTAAGTGACTTTGATGGGCGCGGTTCGTTTGACCAATGCATTGCACATACTGATCGCTCAAACACTGCGCAGTCCCCGAAGTAGCTGCTTGTGTTCCTAACACGGATGATCCTAATACGCCATGCAACAGTCAGTACATCAGAGTTCTCGAGTTGACTTTGGATCTCTGCTAACACTCTGTAGCGGTGCGCGCCTGGGTGCTGACCACAGTGTTTGTCATGATTTTCGCGGCCGTCAATCAATTCTTCAGTCTCCGTTATGTGCGTCAAGCTGGCTTCTTTCTGCGCATGAGGGTTAATACTGACAAGACTAGCCATCGCTCACCCTCCAATATGTCGTGGCTCAGCTGTTGGTCTATCCGGTTGGTAGAGCATGGGAGAAGCTCCCGAGGTGGAGGGTACCCCTGGGCAGGTTTACGTTCGACATCAATCCCGGGAAGTTTAGCATCAAGGAGCATGCTCTAATCACGATTGTGAGTTGCTGGCGCGGTCCACTAGCTTTGTTATAAGCTCATCTGAGTTGACATCAATAGTGTGTCAACATTAGTGCCAGCACGGCATATGCTTCGGGCTCTCTTGTAGCCATCACGATGCCACAGTACTGGAATCGTGATTTTGGAGCAGGCTTCGCCTTCATCTACCTCCTGACGTCCCAGATGCTAGGGTAAGATTCGCTCCCGTCGCTGGTGGTGACCCTGTCTAACCAAATCAGTTTTGGGCTGGCTGGGCTTGCGCGTCGCTGGCTCGTCTATCCAGCTGCACTCATCTGGCCGTCATCGTTGTCGTCGACGGTGCTGTTCCGAGCACTCCATGAACCCGAAAGTCGCGCAACAGTCAACGGCTGGAAGATGAGCCGTTATCGCTTCTTTGCCTATTTTACTGCCATCGGCTTTGTGATCTACTGGTTCCCAGACTACATCTGGACCAGTTTGAGCACGTTCGCCTTTGCCACCTGGATTGCCCCAAAGAACCAGAAGGTCAACACCATCTTTGGGGTAAGTGTTCCTCCAATCCTTTTTGGTGAGGTTCGGACTGACATGCGCAGATGAATTCTGGGCTGGGATTGATTCCGATTAGTCTCGACTGGACTCAGATCAACTATGCAGGATACCCCCTCATGACCCCCTTCTATATCACCTGCAATGCTTTTGCGGTGGTGGTCTTCTTTTATCTTTTCCTCTCGCCGATTCTGTACTACACGAATGTCTGGAACAGTGCATAGTGAGTCGAGTCATGGTCTGCCGTACTATTAGTACTCTCTAATTTTTCTTTCGCAGCCTGCCTCTGCTTTCCTCTTCCACCTTCGACAACACCGGAAGCTCCTACAATGTTTCTCGAGTTGTCGACGAAAACCTGGACTTTGTGCTCAGCAAGTACGAACAGTACTCACCCATGTATATATCCATGTCCTACTCGCTCACCTACGGCCTCTCGTTCGCCGCTGTGACGGCCGTCGTTGTGCACACCTATCTGTACAATGGTTCGGAGATCTGGGCCAAATTCAAGAACTCCCGCCATGGCGGTGAGGATATCCATCGGCGGCTCATGCATGCTTATCGGGAGGTCCCTGATATTTGGTATGGGATTCTATTCGTTGTCACGGCCGGACTGGGCATCTTCACCGTCAAGTATTGGGAAACCGGCCTGCCCGTGTGGGGCTTCATCGTCGTGTGCTGCGGCATGTGCGTCTTCTTGATTGTGCCCGAGGGAATCCTCGAGGGAACCACCAACCAGCGTGTCTTCCTGAACATCATCACTGAGCTAATTGCGGGATATGCTTGGCCCGGAAAGCCGATCGCGAACATGATGGTCAAGTGCTATGGGTATAACTCGGTCAAGCATGGAATGGATTTTGCACAGGACCTGAAGTTGGGACAATATATGGTGGGTGTCCAACATGTTTGTTGAAAGGAATCAACTATAACTGGCGCAGAAAATCCCGCCGCGGGTCCTCTTCTTCGCCCAGATCTACTCCAGCATCTTAGCCACCATGACTCAGACCGGCGGTATGCTCTCTCTACCATTTCAGGTGACACCCCAAGCTGACACTCGCTAGTCTTTCGCTGGATGATGGGCAACATCACGGGGCTGTGTGACCCAAAGAACACGCAGAAGTTCACCTGTGCTGGTGCTAAGGTTATGTATAACGCCTCGTTGATCTGGGGCACCATTGGCCCGCAACGCATGTTCCAGTCAGGGCAGGTGTACAACGCGCTTATGTACTTCTTCCTCATCGGAGTAAGTCCTCCCCAGCTCCCAGTGTCGATGTACCTAACGTTATGTTTAGCCTGTGGTGACCGTAGCTGTGTGGCTGATCTACCGCCGCTACCCCAACAGCTGGGTCAAGTACATCAATGTGCCCATCTTCTTCAATGGAGCGGGTAACATCCCGCCTGCCAACACCAGTTTGTGCCCCTTCCGTTTTCCCTCTGGTGTGAACATACTGACACCCTGCAGCGCAATATTCTCTCTGGTTCATCTTCGGATACGTGTTCATGCACCTCATCCGCAAACGGGCCTTCCTGTGGTGGAAGAAGTACAACTGTGAGTTGGAGTCGGTCCACGTCGAAGAATGAATCGCGCTAATCACATGACGGGCAGATCTGCTGCAGGCGGCCATGGACACGGGCACGGCGATCGCGACCATTATCATCTTCTTTGCGCTGACTTATAACGGGATCACGCTGAGCTGGTGGGGAAACAATGTTGGGTCGGACACAGATGATACCAACTCGGTGCCGTGGTTGACGGTCCCGACCGGGGGCCACTTCGGCAAGGGCCCTGGCGAGTTTTAGGGCAGCGCCGTGGGCCAGACTACTACATAGTAGGTACTTGCATGTAGATTCGATAAGAGTCTCGGGTTAAAAATGGCATTAGCGAGTTAATGAGCTGGCCGTAGGGGGCCGCAAATCATGACAATGGCACTGTCATTGACTTATAGTAATGAAAAATATGCCCTAATGCTTTTGTTCTCTATGATAGCAGCCAGACGGTGTAGCAATGCATGACGCAACCAGAATAATCCCAAAAATCTGCAATCTGAAATCTGCAATCTATCCTCAATGATGCCTCGAAAGATCTAGACGAAACGCGACATGCAAGACGCAAGCATGGCTGACAGGTGATGTAAGAAAAACAGCGAGGATAACCGCGCATGCAGTATATTCTGCGTGGCCCCTAATTCTTCCGAGGAGAATTCTGCTGCCCGACAGACAGCTGCAACGTTGGTCTCTTATCTCCGGGTCTTGGGACTGTACAATCAGATTCTTTTTACACTCAAGGACCACCGTTATAGATCAAATTTCTGCACGACTAGTGTCGCGGATATCCTCGGTTGCCGTCGGGGTCAGCCACAATGCCGCGCGGGTGTGCCTGGCACGAGCCACATTTCCGAGGGTACCCGTCGCGTACCTTTCGGAGTAAAATCGTTGATTGGACAATTGCAGAACAAGCTCCTTCGGAGATGTGGCTGGAGGTGTAAGACATCCAGGCTCAGCGGAAAGAGATGGAGCACAAGTGAAGTAAGAACCAGTTCTCGGCCCGCGACAATCTACTTGCCCTGGCGGTTTGGTGTGAGCACTGATAGACTATGGGTAATTCGGATTCGGAATTCGATCATGGCACCACGGGCGGAGGCCAGTGGAAAATTTGTCGTCGTTAGTCTAGATATGATGGATAAAAGTGGAAACACCCATTGCCAGACAAGTGGGTTACGGGCTGTGGAGTAGTGATGGAGCACTGAGTAGATATATCAGGGCCTGCCTGAGCTGTCCTCTTTCTTTCTCTCTGGTTCAATGTGATAGACATCAATCCCATACACTCCGGAGACCGGCATCAGCATCCACTCGCCATGGAACACCACGATGATCATGAAAAGTACTTCTCCGAGACGACACCCGTGGACAGCACCAGTGATGATTACTCGTCTTCCTTCGACGAGCCACAGCACCCGGACGACGAGCACCATCCCGACTCGTTAGAGTTGGCCCGTATCAACACCTATCGGCTGCAGCAGAAGGCGACGGTAGGGTCGACGCGACCCCCCGTGCCCCGAGAGAAATGGCTGCCCATGGGCGCGGGCAAGGAGTATCCGCCGCTGCTACCGGACCCGGAGACGTATGTGGTCGAATTCGACGGCGCACAGGATCCCATGCATCCGTATAACTGGTCCATCCTACGGAGGTATGCATGCCCACCAAACCCCAGATCAAGAACCCTCATAAACGTCCCAATCACTAACTCCTTCCAATCCCACAGATCCATCCTCGTAGCCATCCTCTGCTACTCGACCTTCGCGGCCTCCTTCACCAGCGCCATCTTCTCCGCTGCGTCGACGGGCGTGAGCCGGGAATTCTCCGTCAGCACGGAAGTCAGCACGCTCGGGGTGACGCTGTACGTGCTAGGGTTCGCGGCGGGGCCGACGATCTGGGCGCCGGCGTCGGAGCTGATCGGGCGGCGGTGGCCGCTCTCGCTGGGGCTGTTCGGGTGTGGGATCTTCACGATCGCGTCGGCCACGGGCAAGGACGTGCAGACGATCATGCTGTGCCGGTTCTTCGGGGGCCTGTTCGCGGCGAGCCCGATCTCGATCGTGCCGGCGGTGTTTGCGGATCTGTTCAACAACGCGCAGCGCGGCATCGTCATGTCCATCTTCTGCATGGCGGTGTTCATCGGCCCCTTCGCTTCTCCCTTTGTCGGCGGGTTCATCGCCAGCAACAGCCGCCTCGGCTGGCGCTGGACCCTGTACCTGCCGGCCATCATGGTCTTTGCCGGATTTGTTCTGGTCGCCTTGTTCCTGGACGAGACCTACGCCCCCGTTATCCTCGTCCGCAAGGCCGCCCTCCTGCGCCGCCAGACCCGCAACTGGGGCATTCACGCCAAGCAGGACGAGGTCGAGGTCGACGTCCACGAGCTCGTCCGCAACAACTTCACCCGCCCGCTGACCATGCTGGCCACCGAGCCCATCCTGCTGCTGATTTCCTTGTATATCAGCTTCATCTACGGGCTGATCTATGCCCTGCTCGGCGCCTACCCCGTCATCTTCCAGGGGGTGTACGGGATGAGTGCCGGGGTGGGGGGTCTGGCGTTTGTCGGATTGATTTTGGGCGAGTTGCTGGGAGGCGTGTTTGTGCTGTTCCTGCAGGGCGATTATAAGCGCAAGCTGGCCGCGAATGGGGACCGCCCCGTGCCGGAGTGGCGGTTGCCCGCTGCGATTGTCGGGGCCGTGGCTTTTGCTGGGGGGATGTTTTGGTATGTTTCCCCCTTCCGAACTTCATCTCATCTCTCCCCCTTGATATACCGACTCCACTCCAGGCTATATCTTCTGCCTACCTTCCACAAATATACTAATACCCTCCGATCAACAGGCTCGGCTGGACCGGCTACAACCCCCACATCCATTACCTCGTCCCCATGGCCTCGGGCGTGCTCACGGGCTTCGGCATCTTTTGCATCTTCCTGCAATGCTTCAACTACATTGTTGACTGTTATCCGACTTTGTACGTCCCCCACCCTTCTCTCCCTCCTTTCCTAACAAAAATGTGTACTAATAGAAGTAGAGCGGCATCCACCATCGCAGCCAACACCATCCTCCGCTCGGCCGTCGGGTGCGCCTTCCCGCTCTTCTCGCGGCAGCTGATGCAGAACCTGGGCGTGCAGTGGGCGGGCACCCTGCTCGGGTGCATTGCCACGGTGCTCATTCCGATCCCCGTGGTGTTCTGGCGGTATGGGCCGTGGTTGCGGAGCCGGAGTGCGTTGGCGGCGTCGCCGGTGGTCGCGGTGGAGAAGGGGGAGGAGGAGGGGAAGGGGGTGATGATGGTTTGATTTGTCTGTTCATGGGGTTGTGTCTATGACTTGATGAGTTGTGGTTTGATGAGATACCCTTGCATTTGTGTTTAGCGCTGTTAATGTTACTGTCTGTTGTATATATATGATTTCTACTTTCTGTGTGTTGTTGAAGCTTTTGTTATAGTGACAAGATGGTTATGATGTGTCAGTGTAAGCATGCTTGAGATGACTAGCTCAACGCATCAAGCAACCGATCTATCCAAAATCCTACCCCACCAACGTACACCCGAAAGAACAGATCGTGCGCCAGTCGGGTCGGGTACGCGAAGCAGACGTTCAAGTTGATGGCGATAACCAGCATCGAGAAGAGGGCGTAACGCCGATGCTGAAGCCTAGCTCGCGGAAGCAAGCCGCGGTAGGTGTGCGCGGGTAGTTTTGATGGTCGTGGGCGTGGTCGCGGTTCCAGGAGAGGATGTGTTGTTGGAGCGGGGTCTATTTCTTTATTAGGGATATCTTTTGGATGGGGTTGATGGGGTGGGGGAATGGGGAATAAGGTTGGGGAAGGTGGCTGGGGGGAGGTGGCTGGTGATGCGGCATTTCGGGGCTGTGATGGTGATGGTGGTGGTGGTGGTGGTTTTGGGAGTGGGAGTGGTGTTTGGTTTAGGCATTGTGGTGTGATCCTGGGTACAAGGTTACTTGTTTGTCTCAATTATCATTGCTACTAGATTGATCAATAACTACCGGTTGCACAAAAATCAGGATGAATAAGATAAGATGCGCTGGATGGCGTCACGACTGATTGGTGAAGCCGGGTCATTGTGATGTCATCCCCCCCCATCCAGCCTTCAACCTATCGCAGCCTCGCCTTATCAATATTCCCCTTAGAAACCACAATTAAGGAATATTGTTTCAAGCAGGCAAGCCAATCCTGGCCGAGTCGAGTCTCTTCTTGACTGGCTGGTATGGTCTCCGGCTTTTTCCGCAGTAGAAACCCATCAAAACTAGTCTACACTCGTGATCGCCGGATGCAATCTGGGGAACAGAGATCAAGGAACTTAGAACTCGAATGGTCCATCGAATCCAACCGTAGAACGATTAGATCGCCTCTGTCTGGGTCTGGCCAACCTGACCTTGTTCTGCGGAGATCATCGCAGACCATTCGCTCCCACTCTCGTCTCCGGGTAATGTATCCCATCAATCAGCGACAAGAACGCAGCTCTTTCACACCTGTCATGTTTGTGTCATGCTTCTCGGCGCTCAAACAGCGTATCGAAGCTGAGTCTACCGTTAGGTCATCGTGATGCGATTCTGTATAACCCAAGCTTATATGCACTCCATGCCGACCACTCAGAAAAACGCTCAAGCAACGGAATCCTAATTCACTGCATTGCTCCGGCCATGCTCCAAGCTCTGAACCTCTACAGCGTCACATGCCATAGAGCAATCCGACACAGCGCCTTCAAACGTGTCAACTACCAGCTGCTCTTCACCGTCTCTCGATACTCGACCAGTACCACCTCGCCCTCCCGCAAGCTGGCCACCATGGCGGAACACTCCCAGCAATTCATGAACACCTCCGGCGAGACGGACCCGGTCTGGGTCCGCCACATGCCTTACTCCAAGTACCCACACTTCCCTGTCCTGGATGAGAATGTTGAAACCGATGTCTGCATTGTCGGGGCCGGCATCGCCGGTATCTCCATCGCGTACGAGCTGGTCAACCGGGGCAAGCGGGTTACCGTGATCGAGGCCCGCAACGTCCTCTCCGGGGAGTCCGGCCGCACCAGTGGCCACCTGTCCAACGCGCTCGATGACGGGTACACCGAGATTCAGAAGAAGCATGGGTCCCAGGGCGCCCGGGCCGCGGCCGAGAGCCACACCTGGGCCATACAGCGCGTCGGGGAGATCTCCAAGTCCCTGGGCATCGACTGCGAGTACCGCACGCTGCCGGCCTATGAGATCTCGCAGTACCCGCGCGGCGACTCCAAGCACGACCAGGAGATCGCGGAGCTGAAGGAGGAAGTCGATCTGGCCCAGAAGCTGGGCCTCCGGGCCTCGTACCACGAGGGACTCGCCGTGAAGGGCTGGGACGGCGCGATCGACCAGCGCGACGCGGCCGTCTTCGCCGACCAGGCCACCTTCCACCCGACCAAATACTTCGTCGGGGTGCTGGAATGGCTGCGCCAGCAGCCCAATTTCCAGTGTTACACCCATACCCGCATGATGTCCGTCGAGGAGAAGAACCTCGTCCAGGTGAAGACGTTCAACGGCCACACGATCACCGCCAACGACGTCGTCCAAGCCACGTGCGTCCCACTGCAGAAGCTGAGCGTCATCGCCGAGATGGAGTACATGCGCACGTACTGCATTGCTATCCGCGTGCCGAAGGGGTCGATCGAGGACTGTCTGCTGTATGACGAGGCAGAGGCGTACAAGTACATCCGCTTCACGGAGTGCGATGCGAAAGATGACTATTTGGTGATCGGGGGTTGCGACCACAAGGTCGGCCAGGAGGAGACGGGAGGCCGGTTTGAGGAGCTCGAGGCCTGGGTGCGCGAGCGGTTCACCCAGGCCGGGTCGGTCGACTACCGGTGGAGCGGGCAGATTTACGAGCCCGTCGACTATATGGCGTTCATCGGGCGGAACCAGGGCCAACACCATACCTATATTGTGACGGGCGACAGCGGGAACGGACTCACTCACGGTGTGCTAGCAGGCAAGCTAATCGCGGACGAGATCACCGGCACTGAAAACGCCTGGGCTCAGCTGTACAACCCCAACCGTCTCAAGAGCATCGCGAAGTCGATGCCTAGCATGATAAAACATGATCTGCAGATCAATGCCCAATATAAGCGGTGGATGCAGTCCGACATCAAGGACATCGAGGATCTCGCGCCTTGTTCGGGAGGCGTACTGAAGGAGAACCCGGCCAAACCAATCGCCGTGTACAAAGATGACCAGGGCAAGGCCCATAAGTACAGTGCCATTTGCCCTCACATGAAGGCCGTGTTGAGTTGGAACGATACGGAGAAGAGCTGGGATTGCCCGGTCCACGGTAGTCGGTTCAGCTGCGACGGAGTGTGTATTGAGGGACCGTCCAAGGCCAACCTGACGCCCATGGATGAGTTTGCGAAACGGGAGCAACGTGCTCAAGAGGCCATGTAAACGATATCAGAATTTTCTTTTCTCCTTTCTTTTCTATCAATGAGATATATGTAATGGTTCAAGTCGAGTACCATGGATTTGCGTTAAAGATGTGCGTTGTCCAGGGATAGAATTAACCATGAACGGGTAAGGATACGAAAACGAAGCGCGACCGGGGATAAGCTTAGATATTGTGGAGCCCGCCGCCCCTTTCCTAATCGGGAGCACGCAACGAGATACGAAGCATCATTTTTTCCCCTTAGACACACTGCCACGAGGATCAGTTCCCAGCCATCGTTTACACTACATTTGAGGTAAATGAGGTCCACTACTACCTTAGTTATGGATCGAGTCCACAGTCGGGCATCTCTGGTACGGCAACAGCGTTCAAGTTAAAAGCAGAGCGCAATCCTCTGTCTTGTCTTCTTTCTTTCCTGCAATCTAGTCGCCATTGAACCTCTTCTGCCAATACCTCCTTTGTTAATCAACCAGCACATTGGCTATGGAATTCACGTTCTATTATTACGCGCCATCCAGCGCAGCCGCGGGCATCTTCGTGGTCCTGTTTGGCCTCAGCACCCTTCTGCACTTCTACCAGCTGGCGCGGACTCGGTCATGGTTCATGATCCCTTTCTTCATCGGAGGCATCCGTACGTCAAACATGTCACCCTTTGTCCATATATCCACAAGCTAACAGTACGGATCAACAGTCGAGACCATCGGATACGTGGGCCGCCTGCTGTCCGCTCTTCAGAGCCCCGATTTCACCAAAGGGCCGTACATCATTCAGAGCGCCCTGATCCTCATTGCGCCCGCCTTCCTCGCGGCGAGCATCTACATGACCCTCGGTCGGATCATCCGCATGGTTCACGCAGAGCAATACGCGGTCATCCGACTGAGTTGGATGACCAAGATCTTCGTGACGGGCGATGTGCTTTCTTTCTTGATGCAGGCTTCCGGTGCGTTTCCAGCCACAACCCTCACTCTACTACAACTTGCTGATTGATGAACAGGCGCCGGGCTGATGGTCAGCAACTCCAACGACCCCTCCACCGGAGAACACATCATTATCGGCGGTCTCTTCGTCCAGATCATCTTCTTCGGCTTCTTCATCATCACGGCTATTATCTTCGAGTCGCGCATGCGGAAGAACCCGACCGGCACGGCCATGGAACTGTCCGGTGTGTGGCGCCGGCACATGGTCGCCCTCTATGTCTCGAGTGTCCTTATCTTCATTCGTTCCATTATCAGAGTGGTGGAGTACCTGGAAGGGTATGACGGGTATCTCATGAAGCACGAGGCATTCATCTATGTCTTCGACGCGCTCCTGATGTTCGGGGCGATGGTCGTGCTGCAGTACATCCATCCCAGCCAGATCAACTGCTTCCTCGGGATGGGGGACAAGTACTCGGAGAAGGCCTTCAAGACGCGCAAGTTCGTGCCACTTGCGACGGAGATGGAGGTGTCGTCTGATGTTTGAGGGGGTGTGTTCCGCGATGAATGTTGTAGTTGAGGTCTTTACGAAGCGATGATTGTTCTGTGTTGCCCAGCAAGGCATATATATGTATATACTGACAGTTTATGATCTCTCCTCTGACATCGTCTGCGACCACCATGGTCAATATTCACTTATCATTGAGTTGAGGAGAGTCCCATGCCATCATTCTTATGCTCGGCCGTGCAGCTCACATTCACCATCACCTTTCTATCTATCTATTCCCTGCTTCCCGGCCGACTTCGCCACTTTTCCATTGCAAATCACTTTGACCGTGCCCCTTTCGTCTCCAGGCATCAGCCCTTACACTCCTGCTTTCCTCCCGTTACAACATCCTCGCCTACCTGACTGGCATATGCTCAGATTCCCATGAATCACTGCTTTCCTCCATCATCCACCATTTACCTCTTTCGCCATGGCCTCACCAGCTGCGTGCTTCTCGGAAGATCAGGAGAATTTTAATATCCCATCACCGCGACGCCAGGCGCTTCTGGAGCGACCAAAAGATACTTGGGGACAAGAGCGTGTTTCTCGCTTTTGGTGGGCAATGCTCCATGTTTGTGATATTGATGTCCTCGACCATCTTGTCACCCTGGAAACCTGCTCACGACACAAAGCAGTGAATGGAATGATCAGCCCCTGGATGGGGCTGGTTATGCGTATCATAAAACTTTGGATGCGGAAGCACATATCGCCATACGTGGTGCACCCTTTGAGCAAGTCCATCCATGCTTCCGACTCCGAGAGTATCATTTTTGCAGTAGAAAAAAGGGACAGCTTTTCGTGTGTTGTCACCTCCGACCCTGATGGCCAGACCGCTTCCATCTTTCCAATCACCCTTATGGGAGAAGCTCTACGGAAAAGCGATATGGGCGAGTGGCCCTCACTTCTTGACCTGCTCGGGCTTTGAGGCCTCCCGCTACGGTTGCGCGAGGGGAAGCTGCGATTTTCAGAGATCCTCCGGATCCTACCCAGGGGGCACAATCAATCAACAACACGATTACTTTCAACCCCACCCTGCATACCCTTTGGAACGCAAGATTGTTTGCCTTGCGACCCCAAGCCGAACGTCCGCCGGCCGACAGTCGCGAACTGAAGGTTCAGTCTCTCTGACTACCTTTCAGCACCAAGCATTCGCCGTTCTTCGAGGAGGTCGATTTGAGTTTGAGGCCCCCACCGAACGAGATAGGTGCTCTGGCAGACATCCGCGAGAGAGACTCATTGGAACTTGTGTTGAAAATAGCTGTGGGACAGGCCGGAATTCCCACACTGGCGACTGGGCATGAGATTACGATTACTACTAGTGATGCAGCTGAATACCCGGTTCCCAGCTACGGCCTATTGGAAATGCATCTCCTTCTGACCCGGCTCACTCGACTTGCTGGTCTGACCGCTTTGAATTACGAGAATAGTGAACTTGGTGATGACAAGGCGCATATCCTGAACTGGTTGTCCGACATTAACTAGCAAGTTTCGCTGACCTTGCCGTCGGCTGCTTGCTTGAGGCCTGGAGAGCTACGTCTTTTCCCAGATACGGTCCAAGAACATGTCAAAAGGAAATTCGGTCAGAGTTAGGTTTGTTAACCATCCCTTACAAGGTCTGTCCTCAAGATACACAGGTTCTCTGGGTTTACCTGGGCTAATAGTACTGTACCGAAAAGTGGAGGATGAAGAGATTATTGTACGGCCTGATAGGAGAGGGAGCCAAAAGTATTGACCTGTGTCTAGACAACAGCAGAAGGGGTCGGCTAGCTTGGACAATAGACTACTAAACACCCGTTTTCTCCGCGTGCATGCGCATAGTGTCGCAGTGATCGACGCCCTGTTATCCGCATTCAGGCTTGCTCTACCACCGTAGACTGCTTTTACATGCAGAGTGCGAGCCAACCATCCGACTCGTATCGGGCGCTGCCATCCACGCTAGGCACACAGTAATAAACCTTCTATGAATCACTGATAGGCCAATAAAGATACTTCTCTTGATTCCATCTGCAGCACTCCGCAGATGCGCGATACTACCAGTACCCAATGATGTGTGTGGTTCCGCGCAAGCAAATGCCGTCATACCGGGACCGAAGAAGTATATATCCCCAAGCCAGTCCACCTCCCTTCCTCCCCAACCTTCCAAACCTGAGCTACCAGCACAATGCCAGAAACTAACCCGCGGGACATCCTCCCGAACCTCCCCTGCGCCCTCCCAACAGCAGGCATCCCAGCAAACACAGGCGTCCGCAAGACTGCGGGCCTATTCTCCGACCTCTTCCGCACCGACCTCACGCCCACTCTTTTTACTCAAGACGCAGTATGGCGAGACACCTTCGCGCTGACCGGCACCTTACGAACCTTCTACTCCGCGCCCACCATCTGCGACGTCTTCAACCGCCTATGCACCAGCCGAGAAGCCCATGCCTTCTGTGTCGACATCGACGCCGCGAAGCCTGTCCGCCTGGGTGCCGAATGCGGCTGGATCGACGTGCCCTTCGTCTTTCAGACCAGATCACGCCCAGCCACCAATTGCTCGGGAGTGATGTCGCTGGTCCGGGCCGCCCCGGAGGAGGAGGAGTATCGGGTGTGGATGCTGTGCACGATGCTTGAGGGATTGCTCGGGTGGGGGGATGTGGATTCTCTGGGTCCGGGGGTGCAGAACATCTATAATGAAACCTAGGCCATGATATTGCGAAGGATATGGTCGCATCTGGGGCTTCATGTGTCACTATGGTGCAGCGTAGTACAACTTGTGAGTTGCTTTACACTTTCTTTGCCAATAATTATAAACCTTTTGCTCATGAGCTGATAACACCAGACGTTCTGCCTCGGGAATACCTGCAGCGAGCATGGGAAGGTAGGCTGCGTCCGCTGCCGTCTTTATAAGGTTTGCCTGAGAGTCTTGCTCTGATGGCACGCCAGGCATGTTCAACGATGTGACGCCTACGGAGGTCTCCGACCGCGAGATGAACCTCGTCCCGACTGCTGTGGCGCGTCTGATGACCATGGCAGCTGTGCATCCCCCGGCCGCCGCCGAGCCAGAGCGGTTCCAGGCTCTCCACCGCGCTGGGTTCCGAGTGGAAGTGTTTGGAGATCTGATCTATCAGTTGAACCAGCGTCTTGGTGGGCATTCTATGGATACAGGGTCATCGGCAATGATCGCCAGGGGCGAGGTAGGGATCATATGAAAGCTAGAAACACAAGCGAGTCAAGTGCGCTGACTGGGTTTCGAATAGATCAAAGTCAAATCCGATAGTCCGTTAGCGTCATACACAGAAGAGGGCCTCCTTTTCAGTGACGGGAGCGTCCTTCCGGCGGATGTTGTGATCTTCGCGACGGGGTTCACCGGGAACCTCCGTGACTCGGTCCGCACGTTCTTCGGCGAAGACATCTACAATCGCGTGGAGGACTACTGGGGTGTTGATCCGGAGGGTGAGTTGAAGGGCGTTTACGTCCCAACTGGCCGTAAGTGCAATCTGTTCTGCTTCTTTGCATAAAACGCTATGAGGAGTATTGAGAGTTGACGTGAAATTCATGCCAGATCCTGGTCTATGGTATATGGGAGGAGGAATGGGCCAAGCTAGGTTCTATTCGAGATTTGTGGCCTTGCAGATCCGTGCCAGCCTCGATGGGACTCCATTGCCTGTGTACCAAGGAATACACCTAAAGGAGAACTCGGCATAGCCGGCGAAATTTGCATCTCTCATGATGCACTGCAAGACCCCTAGGATAAATCCTAATTGCAGCCGCTCGAGACGATAGACTGAATTATGTCCCGGCTGCCCTAGCATTGTCAAATGTAGAAATGTTCTAATTGCACTCAAATCGGGCTTGATTCTCATGTGAACTGCCATCATCGTGCCTTTTAAAAGGCTGGCAGCGGTCCTGAGATCATGACCTGTCCCGCCTTCCTCCATTCAAGTTTCTCAGCCAGCATATCCCAGCTCAATGGACCGTCAAAACGTCCTATACCTTTCAGACGAGCCGCCACAGACGTAACTAGATGTTCGAACTGGTCTTTAATCTCTTTGATTTGTTGTAAATAGTTCGACTCATGGAAGGAGTCAGCGAATTCATTATCATTGGTATCGGAGTCGTCGTCACCCTCGTCGCTAAAGTCATCATCGGCGTCCTGACTATGTATGCGGGTCTTGCGGTCCACAGCTGGATGATTGCGACTGTCTACATTTCTCAAAGTCCTCCGGAATTGAGACTGGTCGCTTCCGTAGCGCGTAGCCTGAACCTCCGAAAAACGGACACAAAGGTCGAGAATAGCAACAATGGCTTGGTGAATCATTTCAAGATTGTCCGATAGCAAGCATTGTTCTTTAAGAGACATCATAAAGTTATAGTGGGCCTCGACCATACCATCAATGTCACTGGCGGCGGATAAGTCCTTGCGTAGCGACGCGGTTGCTGCTGAAATGACGAAGTCTGTCATGTGACTGTAGATGGCGTTGAGAAACCAGAGCATGTTGTGTCGCAGCGCATAGCTTAGCGTATTGTTCCTCGTATCTTGTATCTTGTCGTGGATATTGCTATGCTGTAAGCGCTGTTTGACAAGTGCATGCTTCGCTCTGCGTATCTGCATCAGAAATCTGGAAATTCGCTGGTAATCAGAGATCGCGGATTTTGGGATTATGTTTGCAACAGGCCACGGTAGGATATAATCAAATGAAATTGCATTAAGCATGTTCATCGATCGGCTGCTGCTCTTCTCGCCGTTTATTCCATCCGTCGAGGATCGTACAATGAGTCGTGACGGGTCAATAAAGGGCATCGAACCAAGAATACTCTGCGCCAGTTCTGTAAGGAGATATCGGTCGCTCCATGCCGCTTTCCCTCTATCGATCAAGTCGAATATTTTACTGTCGATTATGCCAGACATGCTCATGTCTCGGCAGAGGTAGATGTACTCCAGAGCCTGAAGCGATTCCCACAACCCACACTCTTTGTCAAACTTGCGTCTCAGTAACGCGGATGTAGCATTGTAATTTACCTCCACCATCCTCTGGAGGGCAGACTCGAGCAAAACAGAGAAAGGAAGGTAAGATGAAGGGGACTCTGGAGGGCACACGTCCTCTATCGTCACGGATGTTTTTCTGCGGTCCTCATCACCCGGACTCATGTTCAAGTGCCGCAAGAATACCATGCTCTTGCCGGCAATGAGGACTTTCTGCATGATGGGTTGGATGAATCGGGGCACAGAGGAGATGTTCGAAAGCGCATCGAGGGTATACCAGTCATGCCAGAGCGTTCGCAGGTCACCATTCTTCTGCTGGTGGTGAACGAAAAACCCATGATTGGCTGCGTCTTCTAGTTTGCCGGTTTCTAGCCAGAGACGAATAGGTCGGGCAAAGGTTTCCAAACATGAGAAGAACAGATCAGCAAGGACCGCGAACCTATCATCATCACCTGTCGCTTGAGTCAAGCATACTACATCGTACAGACGATTGAGACATTGAACGGAAGCATTCACTGACGTTGTCTCAAGCTTCGAGACTAGGTCTGACAGTATCAGGAGAAGCCTAGTTTCACGGCACACATCTTCAGAGAGTTGCAGCAGACTAACAGAGGCGGTTGACGTTGGAGAGAGGTATTGATGTTGTGCTTTTGAAAGAAACATGTCATAATTACTCAGACAACCTTCCAGTCCCCGCTGGAAGGTTTGCATATAAGGAATAGTTTGTGGCATCCTGACGAATAGTCTGAGAATGTCGACTTGAGTTCCGACTGAACTCAGGGATCGTAGAACCGAGGAGAAAGTTTCTCTCGATAAATGCGCAATATTGTAGTTCTGATCTACTTCAACATTGCCATTAAATCGTCGAAACATAGAAGTAGGCAGGCCTTGCAGCATGAAGATTGTCTCCCGAATAACCTCAAGTTCCGTCAAGGCGCAAGAAGATACTACTTCGTGACCCCCATCGAACTTGCTGTTTCGTGTCCAGAATTGTGCCTGCTTTATCGACTTTACCAGTTCTTCGTCATCACCAGATGTCAATGCAGCATCTGGAATCACATAATCTTCTTCTGGAGCTATAGAAATCTGGGGTGGTCGCGAGCGGTGGGTGTCGGTTGACAGGGAAACAGATGCGATCTCCTCATCGGAAGAATCGGCTCCGTAGTCTACAGCTTCCCAGATATCCTCTTCGCAAAATGCCGACCCGGCTGCATCCAAGTCAGACCAAGTGAGCGGTGCGGCCTCCTCTTGGAGTTTCGGCTTTGGGATTCGATCCAATCGTGAATACTGAGCCGGACGATCTGCAAGTTCCAGCAGCAGAGAAAGATATTCCGGGGCCCAGGAGCTACGGTGCTCATTGAGCTCTAGCAACCTGGAGCGAAGTGCATCTGCAAGCTCATCTTTGTTGAGAACTTGGAATTTCTCCTGCAGTCCATCCAGGTGGTTGGCAACCGCAAACTGATCTGTACGGCCATGAGCACCAGCTTTAACTGTGTCCTCGGCACGACGCTTGAGGGCAGCAAAGCGTGGTATGTCCTAAACAAGACATGTTAGCACCCACCCTTGAAGTAAAAGTGGGCTTGAACCAAATGCCTTTGCGTCAGCCTTTGCGACGGCCTCAATTAGCTTTTCTAATAGAGCGCTCACGTTGGCCGTAGCAGCCATGACGGGCACAACATAGGTGAGGCAGTCTGAGCACCTTATCTCTGGATATCAGCACAGCCACTAAGGAAAAGACGAAAAGGAGCGCTCTCCATCGTCCTGTGGTTTCATCAAGGCCGTTGAATTGGTTACGCGGCGCTGATGAAGTGGTGCAGGTCGGCGACCGAGCGGCAGAGATGATTGATCGGGATAGATCCACGCTAGGCCTGTTGGGGAATAGCGGCTAGGTGTTTCGGAAACTGGAACGAGAGACCGTCTGGAAGAGAGAGAGAGAGAGTCTCGCGGCGGGAGGCGGCGATAAGTTGATTAAGTAGCGACAAGTCTCCCCTGCGGCCTCAATTCTCCCCTGTTGCTCACTTTCCCCCTCCATTTCACCTTTCGTGGGGATTTAGCAGACCGGCACAATGGCTGTCGCAAGACCCATCCGGATGCTGGCTGCATCATGTATTATCCTCGTCCTCTTCCTCATCTTCCAGATGAACAAAACACCCGCCTTGATCAGTAAGGGGTCGTCGTCGTCATCATCAACACCATATGAGGGCATCACCTCCGATCCTCTCAAAGATCGTACGTCTATGCAGCTCCAATGACTTCACTCCTCTAGGCTTATCTATCTCCTACTAACGTACTCTTTTTCCTTCTTCAACAGCAACTGGCGAGCCCGAGGGTAAATTGTGGCGTGTGACCGACGGCGACTATAGTCCCGGCAACTCGAAATCTCCCCGTACCAACGCGGCCCTCATCTCTCTTGTCCGAAACGAAGAACTCCACGAATTGATCCCGACCATTCGCGATCTTGAACGCACCTGGAATAGCAAATTCAATTATCCCTGGATCTTCTTCAATGACCAGCCCTTCACGGAAGAATTCAAGAAGCTGACGCAGGCGGAAACGAAGGCAAAATGCTACTACGGTATGTCCAGCTGATCGACCTAGGCACTATACCACAGGTCTCTGACGTATTCATAAAGAGCAAGTGCCGAAGGAACACTGGGAGGTCCCTGAGTGGATCGATATGGACTTATTCCGCGAGTCCGCCCAATTGTTGAAGGAGAAGGGTATTCAGTACAGTGACAAGATCTCGTATCACCAGATGTGCCGCTGGAACAGCGGCTTGTTCTACCAACACCCTGCCCTCCAGAACTACCGGTACTACTGGCGTGTGGAACCCAAGGTCAAGTTCTTCTGCGATGTTGACTACGACGTCTTCCGCTACATGGAGGATCGGAACCTCACCTACGGCTTCACGATCAACCTTTTCGATGCTCCCGAGAGTATTCCCTCACTCTGGCCCGAGACCAAGAAGTTCCTCGCTGCGAACCCGACCTACCTGAACAAGAACAATATGATGAACTGGCTCACCGACGATCAACTCCGACCCGAGCACACGGAGGCCGCCAATGGATACTCGACCTGCCACTTCTGGTCCAACTTCGAGATTGGCGATATGGAGTTCTTCAGAGGCGAGCAGTACTCTGCCTATTTTGAGCACCTGGACCGGGCGGGTGGCTTCTACTACGAGCGCTGGGGTGATGCTCCGGTGCATTCTATCGGCCTGGGTCTCTTCGCCGATAAGAATAAGGTCCATTGGTGAGTCGATGTCCTCGCATTGTGCGCACAGCATCCATGATTTATCCTCTAACTTTTCTTAGGTTCCGAGACATCGGTTACAACCACATCCCCTATTACAACTGCCCCACCTCCCCCAAGTGTTCCGGTTGCACTCCGGCCAAGTTCTACGCCGGTGAGCCCTGGCTGGCCAAGGAAGATTGCCGACCCAGCTATTTCAAGCATGTCGGAACCCACTAAAAGATACGGCGCGACATGTTATGACTTCGTTTACACTTAATTATCTGGTGCAGACGGAAGGTGCTCCTCTATCTCAATATATACGAACGCCGCGCATGAGGTGCAATGAGATAAGAGACAGGCATCTCTGATCCTGCCACATATAACACTTCGTTTACGCACTCAATCAAGGGTGTCAGTTCTCTGCGCCAGGTAAAATATGCCGTTCGAGCATTGCGGTCAATTATATGTACAGGATTTTAGTGCGCACGGCTGCCACAGCTTACATGTTCTACCACCATTACATACCCAGTCTTGTTGACGAAGAAATTGCTTAAAATTCATCTTGAACTTTGGGGGGCGTTATCCAGGGATTTGTTTCTTTTCAATCCTGCTTCTCGGGTTTGGTTGTTTCCGGTGTGTCATGCTTATCTTTAGGCATGTCCGGACTGGCATTTACTGTACCTATAACATTATTTTTCAATGTGTCATGCCATTGATGATGCTCTAGAAGCGGAAGCTCTCAAACTGTATGACCTTCCTGGTCGCTACGCTTGTGTCCTCTGGTAGAAGTCGACCATGAAATCAATGGCTCAATGACTTGCAGACTTACCGGGTCCCTATCCACGAAGGCCGCCCACAATCGCATTGTATAGATCAATGACAGTAGAACAAGAACATCATCTTCGATTTTTCACACTTTAACCCCCTCAATAATACAGAGTAACAAGCAAATGCTCACATGATTTAAAAGCAGCACTGGTATAGAAAAAGCACGCGTGTACTCTCCAATCCACCCCCATTCCCCACGACAGCCAGGAAGCCGGAACGCAGCCATGGGAGGTCCGTTCTCTTTTCTTCTTTTATAGAGAAAATACACACACACACACCACCGGGACATTTCAGCAACTTCATTCCAACTGCACTTCTAGAGTATGTATACAGCGTTCCTTATCTTTAACTGACTGACAACATAAAAAAGATAAAACGACGAGACGGGTGGAATTCCGGACACAGAGGGTTGAAGTTCTGCGTTTACTGCTCCTCGGGGTAGAGCTCCTCACGGAGAGGAACACCCAGCTCCAGGCGGAGCGACTCGAGAGCCTCGAGGTATTGCTTGTACTGTTCCTTGGTCTCGGCCTTGGCCTTGATGCCTATTTTTCGATGGGCAAACAAGAGGGATTAGTATCTTCTTGAGGAATATGCGGACGTTATATGCAGGGTCAATTGGGAGGAGAGCGGAGGACTGGAGAGGAGGTTATCGCACCCTCGAAGACACGGACGGCAGTGGGGAAGTCGTTGACACGACGGGCAGCCTTGAGAGCGGCGGTGAGGACCTCAACGGAGGGGACGAGATCGTAGGCGAAGCAGTTGTTCAGGTTGCGCTGCGTTTGAAAGAATCGATGTTGTTAGTCCGGGCTGATATAGGTTCGAGCGAGAAGCGCCCAGCAATCCGCCCAATGGCAGCTGGGCTGATTATCAAGGCTGGGGATGCGAGTGGAAGAAGCGAGCAGGGGAGGCATCGGCTTACCTGGAGCTCGAAGACATCCTGAACACCGTCGAATTCCTTCTCGAATCTATCGACAGGGTGGGTTAGAGGTGGGGTTGTTGACGGGTTTGAAGTAGAGAACGAGGTAATGCCCATAGTCAAGGCACCAGAAGGGGCCGGGCTTCTCGGGTTTGGGTGCACGCTGCGACCGAGTCCGGACCAACGGGCTTGCACCTGTCTCCAATGGCTCGGCAAGTTATGATTGCATACCTGTCAGAGAACTCCTCGAAGGTCTCGTCCTCGTGGTGGCCAGAGTAGCGCTGAGCGGAGGTGCTGAAGCTGGGGCGGCTGATAGCCTGAGCGATGGGGAACTGCACGCGGGCCCGGGGCAATTGAGCGGCTCTGATGAAGCCGGAGGGACGGACGGCGCGGGTTGCGACACGGAAGACGGAGATTGGCGACATGGTGAGAGGAAGGTAGTGGTGGAGGTGGGCGAATTGGGGATGGGTGAGGGGAGAGCAAGACGGGCGAGGTGTTGACGAAGTCGAAGTCAGAGGTTAAGCCGGGCTGCACTAGGATTTTGCGGGTGGTGTGAGGTTGTTGGTGCCTCAGGCATGAAAAGTATTCGCCCTGCAGTGGTCGTCCGTCATTGATAATCGCCGGCTTTTCCTTTGCGGCTCCCGCCCAACCCGAAGTTCGCCGATGCCTCAGGCCACTAACTACGGGTATGCTGTTCACTTGCCCAGAGCCTGAGGTCTGCTTTCTATCTGCCAGCTGTGATTGGAGCATAGGCGGTACGTAGCTTATAGCTCTCAATTGGCTCATATTTGGCCCAGATCCCGTGGGCGGCATCGAGATCCGCACCCTTGCCCCGGAGATTACCAGTACCACCTCAGGCAGAGATTGTGCAAGCCTGAACTGAGACTGGCAACAACCGCCAGTCCAGTCCAGTCCAGGTTCCACGTCCTTTCCATGGAATCCCCTGCCTGCCGCCGCTGTGAGACTGACAATTATGATCGACAGTCGGTCATCTCAATTTCCAGTCCAGCTCTCAGTCAGTTATTGGTTCTTCAAATCCTCGTCCTTCAAAACGGTTTCTTCCCAATATATATTCACCGTGATGTTTTCCATCAACTGACCTCTCAAAAAGCACCCCGCGCAGCAACATGTTCGAGAAGCAAATCGTAGAAAGTAGATCGGTGATCGGAAATATTCCCCACGGATCTCGTTGACTAGTGTTTGGACCCTGGCACTGACCAGCATCATGTTTCATGAGTAAACAGTGAGTGATAAGTTACCAGGTCGCTGAGTTCTGAATCAGAGGTATACAGTGACCCAGAACCCTTGGCATAACCCTGGCGAACTTGCATGGAGATTATGTTTCAAGAGGTTACCGGGATCTCTTGGTTCGGAATTCGTATCCATTGAGACATTGGCAATGTTAGGATAGTACTCAGTAATCTAATCATAATCTCTCAGGTACTATAGTAGGTACTAGGTAGTTATTCACACCATTTCGATGGTCACCAACTGGCAGTCAGCACAGCATGTGAAGATGGCCCGGGGTTAGTGGCCGCTTCCCTATGTAGTTATGACAACCAATTACAGATTGTCAATTAGGTAGGTAACTTTGATGACCTTGACGTGACATACAACCGGCGGAAGCGACTCTTCAAAAGTTATCCTCATGAGTTTTCCACCCTCTTCTAAAAATCGAAGTCATCTCTTGCTACGAGGCTTGCCAGCCGCAAACAGCGCAATAAGGGCACCAAAATCAGGACCAGCTGGCGAACCGGGAACCCGGAAGGCACATGATCGTCGGGCCCTAAGCGGACGCCCCCTTTTTTTTCCCAGTGGCCGAGGTTGCGCTAGTCTCTTTTCAGCCGCAGCGGACGCGCCGGAGTCCAAAAAAGAAGACACGCTGAAGGATGGATGGATTCTCCTTGCGAACAGGCAGTCAAAAGAGATACCAAGTCCTCCTGCTGCTCCACCTTGTCCGCTCCCTCTTCATTTCTCTTCTTCCCTATTCTTCTTCCTTTGCTTTCCCTCTTTCTTATCCTTTGAATCGCTGCATCTGCTTTTGACTCCCCCCTCCTCTCATTCTCCTCCCTTTTTCTTACCCCATTCTCTGCTCGCACCCCTCCATCGGCCTGTCAGCAGTTTTGGGAAAAGGAAGAAGAAGCAGAAATTTGAGGTCCTTCACACTCCGGGACCTTCAGTCAATCCGTCCTCCTCTCAAGTAATTAGGACCTTGGTCAATTGCTCACAATGGCCGCCGAACTTCTTCAGAGCCTGCCCAGGCCAACCATTGATCGGCCATTTGGCATCCACCTATGGCCTATCTTCGACAAGGCGTTCGAGCTCGTTGTGGGATATCCCGCCAGCGAGTTCCGCTTCGTTGAGGGCGTCACACCCATGTCTACGTTCAAGGAGACTGCTGTGATGCTTGTGGCTTACTATGTTATCATTTTTGGTGGTCGCGCGTTCATGAAGAACCGTCCTGCTTTCAGGCTCAACACGCTGTTCATGATCCACAACTTCTACCTGACTGCGATCAGCGCAACGCTCTTGGCCTTGTTTATTGAACAACTCCTTCCTACTCTCTGGAGACACGGCGTTTTCTACACTATCTGCACACATGAGGGTGGACTTACACAGCCTCTGGTCGTTCTGTACTACGTGAGTCTCGCACCAGCTTCACATCCGATGGCCGTAACTAACCCGATTGTTTGCGCTTAGCTTAACTACCTGACCAAGTACCTTGAGCTTCTCGACACTGTCTTCCTCTTCCTCAAGAAGAAGCCGTTGACCTTCCTTCACACTTACCACCACGGTGCCACCGCTCTTCTCTGCTACACCCAGCTCATTGGCTTGACCGCTGTCCAGTGGGTGGTCATTGACATCAATCTCTTGGTTCACGTTGTTATGTACTGGTACTACTTCCAGAGCGCTCGTGGTATCCGTATCTGGTGGAAGGAGTGGATTACCCGCCTCCAGATCATCCAGTTCGTCATCGATCTTGGTATGTCATCGTCTCGCAACCGATTCCTGAAATTCAATTGACAGTTGGTTAGGATTTATCTACTTCGCCTCCTACACCTATTTCTCCTCGACCTACTTCCCCTGGGCTCCCAACATGGGCAAGTGCGCCGGAGAGGAATTCGCTGCTTTCTCCGGAATCGCCGTCATCACTTCCTACCTGTTCTTGTTCATCTCTTTCTACGTCGCTACTTACAACAAGGCTGCCAAGACTGGCCGTCCTCGTCGCAACACCGGCAGACAGGCTGTTATTGACATGGCTAAATTCGAGGTCTCTGCTCCTTCCACTCCCAACGGACAGGCCAAGTCGAACGGTGCCGCTGTGTCCACCGGACGCTCCAACGGCCCTGTCACCCGCTCCCGCAAGGCCTAAGTGCACGAGTGGTGAGACGGTCTTAGGGGCATATCTCTTCACTTCTTCGATGACCCGCTTAGCAAATCGGCTTCGAAGCGCGAATTCGTTCTCCCTTCGCTTTCACAGTCAATCTTCGCGCATCGCCATATTTCGGCCTAGCATGAGCGAGCCAACAACCAACCATTTCTGAAGCCGGGTTCCACACTCGGTCGCCAACACTTACAACTATTTAATGAATGACCTTGATGATAATGGTCGTCTTTGCTTTTCAACCAGCCTATGCATGTGGCCTTGCCGCTTTGCAGAGGTGGTACCGAGCTAATTCAGAGATATGTTCGCTTTGGGAAAGGCTTTCTACCCTTTTTCTTCTTCTTGGAATCAGCCGAGCAAAGACCATGACTTGGCTATTTCAGCTTGTATTCTACATGCTTTACTTCGCTTCGTCACGTCGCCTTTGTTCCGCTGGCTGCGGAGTCCCGACATATGTCTTTTTTTGAATCGTCTATAAACGGGAGGTCAACATAAATGTAATCATGGTTATGTGTTTTTCTTGTCATTGCTCCTTACCTGTATATAATTGAATACCTTTCGGACTTCACTAATTTTGAAATGTGCAATTGGTTTTCATAAAATTTTGTTTCTGTTTACCTTGCTGGTTTGGGGCTTTTGGGAATCAAAAATATGTACCTGTCGAGGAGGAAACGTGAGGAGTATGAGCATGGGAGCTGTGGTTATTGGTAATACCCAGATGAACTGTCTGATACAGATGATTTTCTGGGGTTGAACGAAACGAAAATTCGCAACGAGTCTCGGCGTCAGCCCGAGGCAAGATACCTTTTGGGATCCACAGTAGGCAACATCCGTCCGCTTTGCTGCCTGCCTTGTGCTACAGTGCACCTGAGTTTTCGAGCTGCTGTTGTTCATTGCTTTTGTAGTCACTATCGACATGTGCGCAAGCATTCAAGTTACTCCGAGCCGGGGAACCACAATTGACGCAGATAGTGATGAAAAGACCGAAAGTCTCTAGATTCACACTACGATGAAGACGACTCCGGGGATTTTGAGCCTGGAAAGAAGTACTGTTTTGCAGTGATCGACGGATGAAACTGTTGTGGGTTTGGTTACACTCTAGATCCGAGTTCAACGGAGACTCTCAGAGACGAGGTCTCTTTGGAGACCATGCACGTTGTTGTACTGTGCACGACACAACCGCCATGGCCGTGCGCTATCACCTTACGTACTAGTATCATCGAAGATGATACCATGGTTTGTGGAATATCCATGTCTTACTCCGGTTCCTCCCCCGCTATGAACAATGATCGCCCGCGCTGCCGATAGTTCATGCAGCGTGATGACGATCAAGGTAAAATCGTCACTCAGCATATGTTCCGAATACTCAGTTGCAATCTGTGCTTTCATGCCTAGGCATTGTTGACACACGACGAGTCCCCAGCGAGTTTCAGGGAATTTAGGGAATTACCTACCGATAAGCATTGTGGCGTACGCGTCCTGCCCGGTGGTGAGTTCGATAAAGCCGATGTTTATGGATTCATCCGAAGAGTCAGTCCTGACCGACCAACTTCCTTCCCAATGTCATCATAGCTGGTCGATCTACGAAGAACAAAGATTCCCCGAGATCACCAAGTTCAGTGTTCTGTAGCATGCTCAAACCAAGATTGTTGTGGAATCATGAACTCCGATTCCTCTTCCTCGGCATTTACAGCGACATCTCAGTCGCAGATCCAAGCATCTCGAAAGTGCTCCAGAAAGACATAAAAGGGCACCTCAATCCTTAGGTTGATTCTTTATCAAAACACAGAAGCACCAGCTCAATCACTACTTCGATTCGTCGTCCCAGATACATCTTGCAACTCCAGCACCGCCCAAGTCACATCCGTCACAATGCGCTTCCTGTCCTGCGTCTCTGCTGCCCTGGTGGCCATCTTCGCGTCTACCACCTATGCGGTCCCCATCAACGGTGGTGTTAACTGCACTCAACTCGAACAGCAGATCGCCACTCTACAGCAGGGGGTGAGCACGGCCAACGGTACAAGCCCGGAAGGAGTCCAGGCTGCTCAGCAGCTTCTGTACGGTGCGAGGCTCGTGCAGGCCACTGAGTGCACCAACTCTGCGCCGGTCAAGCGATTCTTCCCTGTGAGTATTTGATTCTCCTGTGATGTCTGAGGGTCTGCTAACGACGGTATGCAGCCTGTAAGTAACGCGGAACTTGAAAGTAGGACGTGGTTATGCATGCTGACCCAAGGTGCTACTCGAAGCCTACTGGTCCGGTGAGTTGTTCCTACGATGTCTGCCATCCAGACGGGAAATACTAACTTTCGCAGATTGTGAGTTAAGCTCTTGATATAGCTATCTACTAACGTTTTGAAACACTGGAAACCCATTTTTAATCAACGTGCAGAGTGTGAGTACTTTTTTGAGTCAGTCTGTTTGATATCGATTCGACCCGATGCTAAGCCTATATGAACGCAAAAGGGAACAACCTCACTACCTCCCATCCCCGGATTTAACGGCACGGTTCCACTTCATTAATTGATGGTAAGTGTTGCCTCTTCGGACATTCAAGACTTCTGCTCACGGGACTTGATAGTCGGTAAGTTGAAGCATCCAGCCCTAAAAGCCTCCTGCTACTAGAGCTTCAGCCTCAGATTCGTGGTGCTGGTAAGTGCTTGCCCATCTGGAATGATATACTCAAGTCAATAACATGAGGATCAGATGTGTTGAAGATCTCCCATTGACACCCTTCCCGAGGCCGGAGATCTCGTTGAGGAGGAAAGCTCTGACAACGGGTGGGTTGAAGTGAAGTGGAGCGGCATGGCCTTAGTATAGGTTTTTCTCCCTTTCGAGGTTTTCCTGTACTGTGAATGCGAATGCAGAGGCTTGCATGGGTTATGTTTTGTCCAGAATATGAATTCTATATAAAGTGTTTATCATGACTGTCCCTTGTCGTACCCTTATATCATCGATTGAGGACTGCCGGGACTAGAGGCTTGACTGCGTAGTATCTCTGTGAAGAAAATTCTAATCCCAGGATCACAGAAGAACAGACATTCATTATGCAATTGCATCCCATCTTCTGGGCCCGTCCGATCTCATGTCCCGGCACTTCCCATGGCTACGCTAGCATCGTCGCTTCTTCACCATGTGCTATCCTATATAGGTCTACGAACATGAGGAAGATCCTTGTCTTTATTCTAGACCATCGCGGGGTGTGCTTGACCGTGCCTCCATCCCCGCAGACCGCGGAGCTCTGGTGCATATGTCCACTCCCACCGCACGTCCACCTCGTGCAGCTCCGCTCACTTTTGCCGGGCCATGCATGCCCTGCTGAGCCCGCTCTTTCCCCGTGCGGTGGTGCACCCAGCAGCGCAGCCGACCATTGCATTGGCGCGTGGCCACTGGGCAGTCGCAGGGTGGGTGTCATGTGATGGCGGACGGAGTATAAACCCCCCTCGTTTGCCTTCTTCCCTTTACATTTCCCTGGGGCTGCGCCTTCGTGATGGCAGACGACCCGTCTCGTGTAGCCCTCGTCTTGAACAAGCCCGGAGTGATGCATGGCGCAGTCATGGCGTGTTGTCGCGGGGCAAGAGTAAGCTACTCGCCTGTTGTAGTAAACTTCCATCGTGCGATGGTAATCGGGTGCTACGTTACTCCCGACTACAGGATGTTGCAGGGCCGTTGGGGTATCTTCGCAGACTATCGAATTGCTCATCGGTCTTCGGCTATAGTAGCGACGTGGGCTTTTGACTCGAGACTGGACGGTCGCGGACCTTCCCTCTTGCTAGCTTGGTGGAAGTGCCATATCAGTGGTATTCAAGAAGGCATTGTCCTAGTGCTATGTTTTCAGTCTTCATGCAGTATGCTGTTTCTATTCTCTCGTGCTATGCTTCATCCATAAAGCAGGTCTAGTCTAGAGGGCTCAACCTACGATGAGCATTACGGACACACAAACGAAGGTTGAACTTGAGGAAATCAGCAGGAACAGTAGGCTGGATGGAAAGAAGACACAGAGAGAGAAAACAGAAGGATAAAAAAGCCCAGCAGTCGTAGGAAACCGAAACTAGGGATTGATCTACTATATACTCCGTATCCTTCGGCAGATGCACCAGCAGCACGAGCCCGAACATGATCAGGTTCCCATGCCCATGCCCGGCAACCAAGCGTTACTTCGCATAACTACGAGTAGTCCAATTGAACCCACTTCTCCCAACAAACCATACCAGTCAGTATATCCCACCACCTACAATCACCAACAAAAGTTGAAACACCGGTCATTTCGCTTTTGAATACCTTTTCCTCCCAACAACTATCGCAAGGTAAGCCAAGTTGACATCCCTAGTGCCTGTTCTCATTAACTGCCGAACCCCCCTCCCCCTGAATCATGCATCCGTTCCTCTCCATCTCGATCCGAGAACAACCGCCGGCCCCTCCCACCTTTCTGTGGATCACCCACTGCAAGCTCCCACAGAGTCTAGTCCCAAGTTCCCAACAAAATATCATCGATCGCATCGCTGTCGCTGTCGCTGTCTTGTTGTTGCCTCGCGAGATTCTCATCCTCCCACATTCCACCCTGACTCGCGCATCGCAGTTCCAAGGGCTTCGGCTTGACTTGCCGTGAACAAATTCCAGACGGGGATCCAAGATCGATTCCGAGTCGCTTTCCCGCTCCAACAACCAATCACTTCACTAGAAGCCCAGACCGGAATGTGGCTTGCCGCAACTCTACTTTTCAAGGTTTGAAGGCTTTTCAATAGTCTTTCTTTGAGACGATAAGCGAGGTTCAGCCATGTCCCTGAGATCTCGGTTAAAATCGGTGAGCGGGCTAGAATGGTGACCCTACCCTACACCTACGCCGCAGTCATCGATTCCGTGCATCCACATTCTCTTCCTGACGGGAAACGAGAGACTTGGAGTATTGCACACCGCGATGAATTGCAATATCCCCGCGCATGATGAGCCTTTCCCTATTCCCGAGCCAGGGGTATAGTACCCAGGTAGACGGCATAGACGTCTCCAGCATGGGCAATCCTTCAGAAGTACATACTGCATACTGCATACTACCGTACTCTACATAAATTAAAATCAGATTGAAATTTAAATTATGCCCAGATTGAACTGACAAGAGAGGCACATCCATCAACACGACGATCATAATCTATAAGAATGCACTCTATCTCGCACAACGAACGGGATCCCGGATGTCTTAGTCTACTTCCCTAACGGAAGCCAGGATCTGATGACCGCGCTCCACACCACCGAGAGTGCGCACCTACGTACACATCCTACCAACGATGCGCCCCCCCCCCCGGAAAGCACGATACTCAAACAGCTTTACAACCTAAGTACCAAACCCAACCAGGCCAGATCGAAAGCCATCGACCCTGGTATTGTCACCAAGCCTGCATCTGCATTTTATGCGTCTGCAACTGCATACCAAATCAAATAATCATCGACCAATATTCCAAGTATCAAACGCAGGCAGGTTGTACAGTAAATGTACAGTGCAAGCCGGGGGGCTCAATTGTCCACGGAATCACACCTTCACAAATCTTGCCGCAGATAGGAACCGATCCACCCCTCGGTGGCAGGCCAAGGAAAAGACATCCGGTTCCGTATGCAGAAGTTGGTTGCCTCCAGGCTGTCAGCTGAACCGACCCGAAGTCTGTAGAATTCTACTCTACATTTCCAAGTTTTTCTGTCTCTGGTTCGAGTCAGTTGACGCTCCCGGTGGGCTCCCCACGGCAGAAGCATGCATGCCATGCTGATACTCGATTTTCCGGCACCAATTAAGTCTGTCACAAGGCGGTTCGTACCGCGGGAAAGCTCAGAGCTGTGAGATTGTGGAATGTGGGAACATGTGGAGAGGGCGAGCGAGGCAGATTCAGCTTCCGCCCCCTCCACTCGATTGCCGGGTGAACAGCTGCCGGGATCTCCGATATGCATGCCTACCATCGATCGAACTTTCCATTGAACCTTGGATACGCAAGAAAAAACCCGGGTGTCATCGCTACTGTCAGTTCCGATGTCCGTCCCGCTGGGACGAAACAGCTTCTACAGCATGTCAACACCTACGTCTATACTGTACGTTTACGGACGCGAAACAGCCACAGAAGACAAGCACAAGGGTAAATTGTGTAACTCTGTCCCAGTTGATTCTGAGTTCCAATTGTGGCCCACTCCAGGAAGGCCATCACATTCTGCCCGCCTATGACTACTTCGGTGATCAGAACATAGGAAGGAATAAGAGACAGGCGAGGAGGTTCTGAAATAGTACAGTACGATCGCAATATCACAAGCATCCAGTGCGACAAGTCAAAAAACCAGGGAAAAAAAAGGAATGCCGCCCCAGGCAGTTGAAGTACAGATCAAAAACAAGCCCCATGGAACCAGACGCTAAACCGATGAAGAACGCCAAAGTAGAGACGTGACGCGACAAATAAAAAACCTTTTCCCCAAAACGTAGAAAGAAGAAGTAAAGATGAAACACTAGATCGAGCAATTCTTCCCGTGTTATCTCCGCAAATTAAGCATTATTTCTGGATGGTGGACTTTCTCCTGCCTCGTAACATGAATCCCATGAAACCAGAACTCGAACTCTTGGCGGCTGGTTCCGCACTGTCGGCCTTAGCGCTTCGGCTGTACCGAAAACTCTTCTTCCGCCGCGCAGCCTTGGCGTCCGACGCTGCGGCTTCGCGTGGGTCCAGGCTGTAGACGCTCTCCACTTCCGACCGCAGACTGCTGGCTGAGTACACACTAGACGCCGTCGAACTGTGCATAAGCGAGGCGGCTGCCGTTGGGGGCCGAAACCCTCGGTTGCCAGGCATGCTGGACGTGCTGTAGGTGGAGCCCGAGCGGTGGCGGTTGAATGTGGGTGATGAGTAGTAGGGAACAGGACTGGAAGTGCGGGACGACGGCAAACTGTAATCGGCGCTAGCGAAGGAGTGAGAGAGCGACACAGATCGGCTGTGAGATTCATCGGCGGCATGATTGGATGTGTGGCGGGGAGGAAAGGGCGAATAGCCCCCATGGACGGTCTGCATGGACGGTGGTCGACGGAGAAGACTGCCTTTGGGTCCCCGGTTTGCTACATGCTCGGCAGAGGTCTTTGGTCGATTGAATGCCATGGACTGCGAGCGCATATTGGTGAGCTGGGGAGTTTCGGGCACGTCTGCCAAAGCTCGAGGAGCAACAAAAGGGTCGGTGTCCGCTCGTCGAGGATGCTGCCCCGCATAGCCGCCATGTAATTGCAGGCTACCACGCTTCAGGTGGAAGGCAGGATCTGGCCGTCTCTCGCTCAGGAGCGGTTGCGATTTGATTGCCTGGTTGAGGGAGTACAGTCCTTTATAACTTGGATATCGGTCTGGTTCAGTCGTCGCTGAAATGGCTGACATGGGCTCGGGCTCCTCTACCACCGGGCCATCGGTGACCGGGCTTATCAAAATCAGATTAGGCTTAGCAATAGGCTCGACAATGGTGACTTGCTCAGCCACGCAAACATCTGAGTCGTCGACCGAGTCGTCGACCGAGTAAACGGAACAAGGGGAAGAAGATCGAGAGCGACGCTGAGGTCGCAGCGATTGGGGAGGTTGATAAACAGTAGGTTGCAAGAAGACTGGAGACCGCAG